AAATTTGCCTCCCCCTGACCCATTTAGGGATTCAAATTAGTCTTTACGGAAAATGTATTTCTTTTTATTTTTGCTTTAATTCCATATCTCTTTCAATTTTTATGACACAAAAGCCAACCGCCATTTCAAGTGATGAAAAGTTATGATAGATGTCTTCATATTTTGTTCTCTATTTCACTTTCAAAAAAAAAAAGAGGTCATCATTTCAGCTGGACACTGGATATTCCCATTTTACTTGGACTACTTTGGCTAACTACTGTGAGTGCTGGAGAGAGAAAAAAGTTAATGGATTTCGTGCTTGGTTTTCTTCTTCTTTTTGTTTTGTTCGGATTCTACATTCTCTATCCTTTTGCTTTTTAATCAATTTATTTTTTCTTATTTCTCATTTTTGTCCTAATTAAATTAGAAACACAAAATTGTTATATTTTTACGGACTGCTGGATACTAGTCAGCAATGCTAAGCCAGTCGGTCATTCAGCCCGCCATTGTGGTATGTGGAAGCGTTCGCCAATGTATTCTCTTTCATTTGGTTTTTTGTTATTTGATGCCTTGTTTTTTCCCGCATAAATTGTTTACGCTTTACAGAAAATTTCTTGAGAATATGAAAACAAATTGGCTTAAAAAACTATTTACAAAAAAAATATCAGTAATTAGTTGACGTATTACAAACTTGACATGGGTTTGCTGTAAAATGGCCGGAAAATGTTAATCTTTGGTCAAAAGATAATATTTGCGCCTAAAACTATGCATCAGGCATTACATTGCACAGAAAGCACAATATACTATATAATCAGCTGTTCGATTGATATCTCAAACCTCTTGAAACATCAGCTGATTTTTATTACACAATTTTTTCTATTAACAACAATTTGATATGTCGCCACACAGCTTTATTCACATGAGAAGACAACACGGTGTGCTCACAACATCATCAGCTGATTATCATTAAGGAATGTTGCCAATGCTATCCAAATTGATCAATTTGGCGTTAATATCAATATCGTCTAGTCAAATATATGTAACATTTTTAAATTTAAATTAAATTTTTAAATTATTCTATTGATGCTATTTCCGACATTTTTTGCTTCCATTCAATAAAATTTAAAGAAAATTGTAAAAATATTGGCGTTTGAGTTTGTTGCAGTTTTTTTATCTCACCCTGTATGTCTTTTTTACACAAAAAACATTTTTTATTTTTAAATTTGTTATTATTTATTAAAATGTTATTATTTATTATTTCTATATAAAATTCAATTATTCATGGAAATGCCAAAATCACACCTAGTATACCCTACTTAACGGGGGGTTTCTTCGACTTCTTGTACCCTAACGACTAACTAATCACCTGTTACGTTGTCATAATTCGTGCCGTTGAAGGCCAGATTTCGTGCCAAAAGTGACCAATTCGAACAAGCTAAACTCTAAAATTTGATGCTGTTTCCGACATTTTTTGCTTTCATTCAATAAAATTTAAAGAAAATGGTAAAAATTATGGCGCTTGACTATGGCGCAGATTTTATATCTCACCCTGTACATTATTATGTCGAGTACATTAAAACATTCGAGGATAAATTTTCCATAAATTTCCTTAAAAAAGAACCCTTCAATTGCCTACTTTCTCGTTCAACCTTTACATTTCAATTGTATTTCAAAGCTCTTAGCAACAATATTTGATTTTTTTTATTTCGCCTCCGTATTACTATTCATATTTTATGAGTTTTTATTTGGAATTTCTTTCATCGCCCGACCGACTGCCTCAATACAATACAAAATTCCGCAAATAAACAAATATTAAAGAGAACTCAACTTTCTGGGGTGAAAACAAAAAAAAAACCTATTATGACCCCATTGCGTGTAAAAACGAAGGAAAAAAATTGCAAGAACTTTTTTTTTTTTTGTTTCGTTGTTGATATTATTTATTTAGTGTGGAAAATAAAACTTTAATATCTTTTACGGTCATATACATATTTATACACACACACACAAAAATATCGACCCCAGGAGGAGGACCTTTTGTATGTTTGTTTCAACTTTGTATTATGGATTTCCAATAAAAACAAAAACAAAAGCCGTACAATGCCACTACTTTGTATTGTTAAAATAACAATCCAATAAACAAAATAATATCCCCAAGAGAGGGAAAGAGAGAGAGAGTGAAAGAATTGGTGTATGGCGTCATTAAAATGTTTTTTTTTTTTTGTCCATTCTTTTATATTTCTAGTTGTTGTTGCCGTTCTTTTTTCTAATATTCTTTTTTTCTTGCGAAGGCGACACCAGCTTCTTCCAAATTAGACAAAGTGTAACAAAACTCAAAGTGTAGGTGTCACCACATCATGTCAGCTTTGAACTCATAAAGAAAGTTTCTGCCATACGTACATATATAGGTTGGTTGTTGAACTTTTGCCATGTGTTGGGAGAAAAAACAACATACCTTCAAGTATGATGAACCTTGAAAAATATGAATTTTAAATAGGAAGAAATAACTTGATAATGACTTTCAGTGCATGTCAGAAAATACATAACATGAAACTCACGAATTTAAAACAATTTTTGTGTGAAAAAACTCTATTTTCTTTCTCAAAGTTAGAAGATTTTGGGAATCATGTGGCTTAAATCCACTTTAGGCAACGTAACAGGTGATTAGTTAGTCGTTAGGGTACACGAAATTAAAAGCCTCCTTCAACATATGAGTAGAGCACACCAGGTGCGAATTTTGCATTTCCATGAGTAATTGAATTTTAAATAGGAAGAAAAACTTGATAATGAAATACCTTGTTTTCTTCCCAAAGTTAGGAGATTTTGGGAATCATGTGCTTTAAATCCAATAAGGGCAACGTTACAGGTGATTAGTAAGTCCTTAGGGTACACGAAATCGATAAAAAGCCTCGTTCATTTTATGAGTAGGGTATACTAGGTGTGATTTTTGCATTTCCATAAATAATTGAATTTTAAATGTGAAGAACTAACTTGATGACTTTAAGTGCATGTAAAGAAATATATGACATGAACTTTTTGTGTAAAAAAAAAACAATTTTCCTTCTCAAAGTTGGAAGATTTTGGGAAGCATGTGCTTTAAATCCAATTTAGGCAACGTAACAGGTGATTAGTTAGTCGTTAGGGTACACGAAATCGATAAAAAGCCTTGTTCATTATATGAGTAGGGTATACTAGGTGTGATTTTTGCATTGTCATGAATAATTTAATTTTAAATGTGAAGAACTAACTTGATGACTTTAAGTGCATGTAAAGAAATATATGACATGAAACTCGCGAATTTAAAATAATTTTTGTGCATAAAATACCTAGTTTCATTCTCAAAGTTAGGAGATTTTGGGAATCATGTGCTTTAAATCAAATTTAGGCAACGTAACAGGTGATTAGTTGGTGGTTAGGGTACACGAAATCTATAAAAAAAACCGTTCATTCTACAAGTAGGGTATACTAGGTATTTTTTTCGCATTTCCATGAATAATTGCATTTAAATAGGAAGAAATAATTTGATGGCTTCTTGTGCATGTAAATAAATAAATAATATGAAATTTAAGAATTAACAAGTAAAAAAGTTGTAAGTTCGGCCGGATCGAACTTGAATACACTCCAAAAAAATAAAATCCGTTAAAAATTTTATTAAAATCTTAAAAATAACAAATAAATGATGACGTAGACTTTTGACTTTTGTCATAAGCCATTAAAATATTCAAATGCGAAACTTGAAAAAAATCGGAGAATAATGTAGCTAAAATCATCAATATAGGGAGGTACTATTATATGGGGGCTGTACCAAAATGTTGACCTGCACAGACAATTTTCTGCCTGAGGCTGCAGTATCCATTACGAACTTCAAATACCAAATTTGAAACAATTCCGGTGAGTAATGTCGCTAAAATCATCAAAATACAGAATATCGGGAGGTACCGTTATATGGGGGCTATACCAAAACGTGGACCTAGATGGCCCATTTTCAATACCAAAAGTCCTGTAGACATTATACACATTTGAGTAAAATGTTATCCATCTACTTCATTTTGTTCGGAAGTGATTTCCACAGACGGACAGACGGAGGGACATCACTAAATCGACGTAGAATTTTAGGCTGATCGTTCTCCACTAATAAATAAACGTTGTTTAAAAAAAAAAAAACAATAATAAAGGGATAACGCCTGACAATTTTGCAACAACAAAATACTATAGTATCCCGAACAAACAAGCTAATACTGTTCTGATCATGAATATATATACTTTGTGGGGTCTAAAATGTATATTTCGAGATGTTACAAACGGAATGAAATACTTAATATACCCTTTATACTATTGTGGAGGGTATAAAAAAAAGTCCGCATTCTCACCATGGGTTTTCCTTTTTATATAATACTAGCATATAATTTCCCGTTTATGTTTTAATGTTTTAATTCAAATATATTCCATTTACAACAAAAAAATAAACATCTAAGCATAACTCTTAAAGTGAGAGTACATAAAAGGTTTTTTTGACTGCGGCTGGCATCTTCGGAAAAGAACAAAGGAGCACATGGCCAAGATCGAACTATGTCTACCTACAACTCCTTTGTTCCTCTACGAAGAAGCCAGTCGATGACTTAAGCCAGTCAAAAAAGCGTTTTATGTATTCACACCTTTACACATGCCTAAAACTTTCTTTTCTATATTATTTTCCATTTTCATTTCTCTCTCTCCTTGGCAGGCAATCAATTGAAGATAATCGATTCATGGTAAAAATGTTGAATTTCATTCAGTTTGACAGCTATAACTGATGTCTAACTGTAAGCTATTGAAATAAGAGGTACAAATAAACCTGATGTGCTTGGTGCACACATAAAGCTTGATAAAGTCATTGACGATCATAAATAATAATAACTTATTTATGAATAAGGAGAGCAGGCAAAAAAAAACTAAGAAATGGAGTGCTAAGATAAGATTTGACTAACGTAAAAAAAATGGTTATATTTAGAAAATAAAACTTGATTACAATACGAAACACTTACCCTGATTGTCGTGGTTCACGTCGCTGCATTTCGTACACACCGACCGCACCGATGATAATTCACCGATTTAACGATGACAATACAACGATGACGACGATGCGTTAACGAAAATAAAACGACAATGATTAGAATGGAGAATGGATTCTGTTGTTGTGTAGTTGCTTGCTTCCTTTCTTAGCTGGATGTGTTGTTATTGTTGTTTGTTTGGAGTTCAATGTGCGTAACTGATGAACAGAAATTACGGCGAACGTCACTACTGCTACCAAAGTTTTTCACGCATTCACTCCCCTTTTTTTGTTTTTGCTTCTTGTTTCACTTCGTTTTTGTACAATTATAGTGACAAATTAAACGGTTTAACGTTAACAAAAAAAGGCAAAATAAAACAAACCGAAAATGCAACAAATCTTGTCTTACAGTTATCACCACTCACACTCACTGACCCGTTTTTTCTCTCAGTTAGAGGCGGGGGGTGTTGCTCTTACTATCTTACTACTGTTGCTGCGGCGACAATAACGTACGTTGACGTTACGATAACGTTTTGCTAACATTGACACGACTGTTGTTTGTTTGTTTCTTGACAAGAGTAATGAGAGAGATATTTGCTGCTGCTTCTTCTTCTTATTATTCTTTTTAACTTCTTTTGATAATTTAGTTGATTTTATTTTTTTGTTTTGTTAATGGAAATTTGTTTCGTTTTCTTTTTTTTTTATTTATTTAAATGCACAACACTAAAATCTAAAGAAACAATAACTAAGGAACCAAGAAAAGAAAATTTATTGTTGATTGTTGTTGGCGTTGGCAAAATATACAGAACAAAAAGAAATTAACGCAGGAGTAAAAGGAACGAACAACAACACTATGGTACTGTACAATGCTGGCTGATGCAGGAAGAAAATATCTATCGCTTGAAACAGGGCGAGCAGCAGCTTGTCGTTGTGTTCTAAACACTAACTGGCAGTCAGCAGCCAAGTTAAGAAAATAAATAAAATGTACAATTCTGTTTGTGTCACTTGGCCGTCGTCGTGCTCTGTTCTGGGTATGTTGTATGGCTCACGTTTTGATTTTTTGTTCTATTTTTTTTGTTGCTGGCTGTTGATTTCTATTTTTTCTTTTTAGCCAAAAGAAAAACTGCTATTTGGTGACTGTTCCTGTTCTTGTTGCTGTTGTTGTTTGTCTGTCAAATCGGCTTGCTGTTGGTGATTGTTTCTTCTGTTGCGAATTTCATACAGTAAATGTGTGTTATTTGTTATTGATGATGATGGTGGTTGGTTGGTGTGGTGTAGTGCTGTCTGGTGGTCGGTCGTGGTGGTGGTGGTGGAGTAAACTTGGGAGCTTGTTAAAAATTTGATGTTACTTTGAGGCAGCGACTTCCAAAGCAGTTGAAGATGGTGATGATGATGAAGATGACGATGTTAATGGTAAATATTTTGAGAATGTTATGACTTGAAAGATGAAATTATGATGTTGAGTGAAAATGTTATTTGTTGTAGTGTAGCACTGCTTGCTGCTCAGCTATTGGTGGTGGTTGTTGTTAGTTATCTTGAAATTTGGCTTATATTAAACAAACAGAAGAGGAGAAAACGTTGAAATGCAACTGGAAATGCCCCCAAATAAAAGAAGAAATTATGACGCACAGCAACAAAAAGACAACGGCAACGAGGATGACGCGGCGGCAACAACGACAATGGGTCAATAATGGGTCAACAATAATAATTACGACAACAAAGAGATTATGATGATGGTGATAACAACAACAAGCAGTAGGAAAATGTCATAGAATGTTGCTATTGTTGTTGGAATTAAACAAAATGTTTGTGCACAGTTATGGAATAGGGACGAAGACGACTATGGTGTCAAAGGTATTTGATTTGATGCTGCTACTACTGTTATGTTTTTCACTTTTGGCGGGCGGTGGTCATTGGTTCATTGTTGTTACATTAATTTGCATTAGTTGTTATTTTGTTTTGATTTCAGAAGAAAAATTATTAATATTTACACATTTAACAAAACAAATTATGCCACTGCTTTCGTTAGGTTTTTTTTAATATTTTCTTTTTTCAAAATTTTCACAAGCTCTTCATCAGCAGCATTTGCACTATGAACTTTAAACTGATTCCTTGTTTGGTTTGGTCTTCTACTTCTTTGTCGTTTTTCTCAACGAGATTGGATTGTTCAATACCGCCATACCATACCAATAAACAATATGTATTAATAAACTTGCTATTGATATTTAATCATAACATTGATTACTGTTCCTGTTGTTGTTGCTGTTCTTGTCCTCTTTGTTGCCTTTTCTTTTCCTGCACTGCAAAAGAAAGATGACCACGAGCCCTTTGCTTTATTTCCCGCTTATCATCAATTGCATTTTGCTTTTGCACATTTATAACTTATGAATTGTTGTGATGTTATTTACTTTTTTTTTTAATTTCATTAAGGAATTTTCTTGCTGTTGAATTGAATGTTGAGAAATGTCAACGTTTTCGTTTTGTTTTTTTTATGTTACGTCTGGTTAAATTTTCTTTTTTTTTATTATTTTTCTTGAAATATGATGACTTGCTTAGGCGGCGTTTGCTTGGTTGTTGTTGGGTAATCGGTTTCTTCTGCGCGTGTGTATGTGTTGGTTTCTTTGTGTGTATGTGTGTGTTGGTGTGGTTTTTCTTTTGCTTAAGGAGTTAATTGCACTTGGGCCCTCTTCTTTTACAAAAAGGTGTGTGATGAGTAAAGTATTTCCATTTATATTTGTAAAGTTGTTTCATAAATGCTGCAAAAAAGAAAAGCAAGAAAAGAGAATCGTTAGTAGGTTTAAAAAAGAAAATAGGTACAAAGTAAAGAAATACATAATTTCAGGTTTTCTTCAAAGGGTTTGGCGTAGAAAAATGCAAATGAATTTGTCAAAAGATCAAAAGATTTCTGATATGCACTGAAATGTTGGAGCTTTTACTTTAAAGAATCTTTCCTTGTAAGTCTTAGGGTGGAAATACATAAAGCGCATATTTGGCTGGCTAAAGCCATCGGCTGGATTCTTCGTAGATGAAGGAAGGAGCTTTAAGTTAACTTAGTTCGATTTTGGCCCTAGGCTCCTTGGTTCACTTCTGAAGAAGCCAGCCGATTGACTTAAGCCAGCCAGATAAGCGCTTTATGTATCCCCACCTTTACTTTGGTAAACAGCTGGAATATAAAGGATTAGAAGAAGAAGCCTTTTCATTAAAGAATCCTTACATGTAAGTCTCTTGTAAACAGCTGGAATAGAAAGGTTTGGCCTAAAACCACACAAATTATTTTATGACTCCTAGGTGTTTTTCCTTTCTTTTTAAATAAAGGCGTTTTTCCTTAACACGATCAGGACCAGCGGTATAAATCCCAACAATTAAGAGTAAACTATAAGGCCTATTTGTCTTCTCCGTAGAAACAAAAATATACTGAAAACCAAAGGTATTCTCTGAAAATCTGAAGACCAATAAGCCAATAAGGTGCAATGGTAAAACACTATCTTGACATGTCCAGGGTTCAATAACAATCTTTCATAGACCATCCATAGATAATCAAATATAAATTTCAGTAAATATCCGCATTTAGTTCTAGTGATCAACCGGGGATTTGAGATACCTTCAACTGAGGCCCCCAATTGCTATTGAACGTAGAGTTCCTCTGTGAAAAACATATGAACAACACAGCTTTCCTTTGAACACATCGTGCGATAACTTTTGGGTTCCGGGTTTCCCCTGCCCAACGGCTTTTGAGTCTCTCCAGCCGGTATAGAATTTACTCAGGTCCATTGGTCACAGGGGATTTTGCTAGGACCGAGTCGTTGGATACGCGAGGAAATCTTCTTTCGAGCTTCCTCACGTACTTGGCTTGACTTTATAACCCCAGGAGTTGATGGTCGAAGGGTGGGCAACTCCTTGCCTATACGTCACGGCATTACCCTGGTCTCCATGTAATTGGCATACAGGCAGAAGTCCTCCATGACTTTCTTAGAAACATTAGAGAAGTTTTATGTACCTTCAACTAAGGCCCCGAATTTCTATTGGACGTAGAGGTGTTCGAGGGAAACAGGAAAATTTCTCTTTGAACACATCCTACAATGCCTTTGATTTTCCTTTAGGTTCCATGTTTCCCCTTCCGATTGGGTTTTAGGTCTTACCAGCCCGTATATACTTTTCACCGCTGGGTGCCTTGGCCACAGGGGACTTTGTTAACTGGTCGATTAGGACCGAGCGCTTAAGTAGGCGAGAATACCTTCTTTCGAGCTTCCCCACGGATTTGGCTTGACGAGATTACCCTGGTCTAGACAATCCCACGGCAGCGGGTTCTACGACACCGGATTGACCCGAAACAACAACACTCCAGTTTCGGCCAGCGGCTGCCAACCCAGTGTATACATGTTCGTGTTTGTTTATTTTTCTGTTTTGGGAGCAGCACATCCCGGAATGCTTGCTCCGGATTCTTCTGGTCCGTGCCGGGCTTGAGGAAAACCCCGGACCATGGTTCTGTACGGTTTGCCAAAACACCATCCACCATAGATCAGTCTCGGTGCGATGTAATGGATGCAGAGGATGGGTGCATTTTAGAAATTGTTCCGGTTTAACCCGGTTGCGAGACTATAGCGATAGGGACTATGTTGCTTCGTGCTGCACCAACGTAGTCCCCAGTGAGTCCACGACCTCGTCGTCAACTTCCGAGTCGTCGTCGGAGTATGGAACTCCCCCGCAGTCTCCAGGACAGCAACCTTTACCGCAGCACTTAACGCCACATGTTGCTGTTCCAATTCCGGACAATGCATCGTTCTTGCAGTTCAATTGCAACGGACTCCGAGGTAAAATTGATGAGATAGTGGATTTTATGAATCGGAGGAATATCAAGATCGCAGCGGTGCAGGAAACCAAGCTCAATGAAAATTGTAGCTTACAACGTTGCAATGGTTACAACGTATTGAGGAAAGATCGCACCAGAAGTGGAGGTGGGGGATTAGCGTTCCTGATACACCATTCTGTTCAATACAGACCTATCTCGCTTGAGCTAGTCTCTAGTGACCCGTACATGGAGTGTATGGGGGTAGCAGTCAAGTGTGGTACTGCCGAGGTAGAGGTGCTTAATGTGTATATCCCGCCGGTTAATAGCTGTGAACCGCGTTACTTGCCTAATATAAGCCCACTTTTGGAAGGCAATAACCGCCTGGTACTAGGGGACTTCAATGCCCACCATGAGTTGTGGCATTCCGTCCTAGGTAATGACCAGAGGGGATCAGCGTTGGCAGAGCAGATTGACTGCTCCACATTTTGCACGGTAAACGAGGATGCCCCCACCCGAATAAGAGGAGAGTGTCACAGTTCGCCAGACTTAACCATCGTGTCACCCGGTCTGATAAATGACGTGACTTGGCAACCCGTCATTTCTCTTGGCTCAGACCATCTCCCGATAATCGTCTCCATCAGCAGATCGCCCGATTTCATAACCTCTGAACGCCGCACTTTCCTTAACCATGGGAAAGCCCACTGGCCCGAGTTCAGAGAGTTCACCAACCTTCGCTTCAGAGAACTGCCCAATCCTTCTGATGTTCGGGTAGCTGAAAGGATTTTCCGGGACATCATCAAAGCTGCAGCCGCTCGCTATATACCTGCTGGTCGAATACCCGAAGTAAGACCAAATTTCCCAGCAGAGGCAGCGGGATTAGCGAATGAGCGTGATGAGCTCCGACGTACCAACCCTACTGATCTCAGAGTCAGTGAACTGACAGTGGAAGTCAACCGGTTGGTACAGGAGCATAAGCGGAAAAAGTGGCTAGACCATCTGAAGTGTTGCAACATCGGAACCGATTTGAGTAAACTGTGGGTAACGGTAAAGTCACTCTCGAACCCTGGGAAAAAGGATGATAGGACAGCAGTCACATTCAACGACGTAACTGTGACTGATCCGAAGAGGTGCGCTGGCTGTTTTAACCGCCAATTTGTCGAGCACCCCGAGAGTGATAGGGCGAGGCGAAGAGTACTACGTCGTATAAGAGCTCTTCCCGCCGAGGATGTACCTCCACAGTTTACGATGGGTGATGTTGCGAATGTCATCCGAAACGCTAAGTCATCTAAAGCGTTGGGCCCGGACGGAATATCAATGGTAATGTTGAAGCAACTGGATACGCCGGGAGTTGAGTATTTAACCAAAGTCCTTAACTTGTCGTTAGCCACCCACATAGTTCCCGAAGCCTGGAAAATGGGCAGGGTGGTCCCGCTACTGAAGCCTGGCAAGGATGCCAGCAAAGGCGAATCATACAGGCCAATTTCGCTTTTGTCGCCAGTAGCAAAGACTCTCGAGGCCTTACTCCTCCCCAGTATCAGAGGAAGCTATTCAGTTGCTAACCATCAACACGGTTTCCGTCCACTACATAGCACTACAACAGCATTGCACGCCATATCCACACATATCAGTCGAGGACTCAACCAGAACAGGCCGTGCCACAGAACAGTAGTGGTGGCTCTCGACCTATCAAAGGCCTTTGATACGGTCAACCATGCCACGCTGTTCGAGGACGTTGAGAACACTACCCTCCGGCCAAGTTTGAAACGTTGGGTAGTCAACTATATGTGTGGACGCCAGTCGTACGTGGAATTCCGGAATAAGAAGTCCAAGCCTCGTAGAGTGAAACAGGGAGTTCCCCAAGGTGGGGTGATATCTCCGGAACTGTTTAACCTCTACCTTTCCGGAATTCCGCGCCCTCCAGACGGCATCGAGATCGTAACTTATGCGGATGATTGTACGATCATGGCGTCGGGTCCTGTAGTTGATGACATATGTGTCAGGGTGAATAATTATCTCGCGGAGCTTGCCGCCTTCTTCCACGCGAGGAATATGAAAATATCCGCCACTAAATCGACGGCCACACTATTTACCACATGGACTGCGGAGATGAGAACACAGCTGAATGTGCAGGTCGAGGGGCATATAATTCCGACCACCAACTACCCCAAAATTCTTGGGGTCACATTCGATAGCATGTTCAAGTCTTCCGCGCAAGCCACAGCTATTTGCGATAAAATGAAAAGTAGGAACAAGGTCCTCAAGGCGCTAGCCGGCAGCACTTGGGGTGCGGATAAAGAAACCTTGTTGACCTCTTATAAAGCGATAGGTCGGTCTGTGGTTAGCTATGCGGCTCCAGTGTGGTCGGCGAATACAAGTGCAACGCAGTGGAAATGTATTCAGACCTGTCAGAATGCCGCCCTGAGAACTGCAACAGGGTGCCTCCTCATGACGCCTGTGGACCACTTACATGAGGAGACGAAGGTTCTTCCCTTACGTCAGCATAATCATATGCTTTCGTTGCAGTACCTGCTTGGGTGTTATCGCGGGAGTCACCCTAACCACCATATGGTGGATAGAACTCCCCCACCCAGGCGTGTCAGGAAGGACCTGCACGATCTAGAGAGAGAGGTCCAGCGATATAAGAGAGAGCCTCTAGATCATGAAGCCTATCAAGCAGGTCTGAATAGCATTCATACTGATGCAGTCGCAGAGGTAGTCAATAATTACAGTATGAATGCCATACTCGGAGTCCACCCCCCATCCATTGCAGCTGAAGAACGTCGGCTGCCTAGGCAAACCAGGGTAGTTTTGGCCCAACTACGTTCAGGATGGTGCAGCCGTCTCAATTCGTATTGGGCACGAATTGATGAGGATGTGCGGAACGCCTGCCCAGCGTGTGATACAGGCCCGCACAATACGCTGCATTTGTTTAATTGTCCTGCCAAGCCTACCCAACTCCGTCCAGAGGATCTATGGCTACAGCCCATAAAGGTAGCAGAATTCCTAAACCTGGACATTGAGGAAGAACCAGATTAGTCGGAAAAAACAACAGAACGTGTAAAACTGCTACAACAACAACAACCCTGGTCTAGAAGATCTGCATAAGGTCGTCAGAATCTAGAAGATCTGCAGAAGGTCTTTTAGGTCTAGGAGACCTGCAGAAAATCTTCTATGCCTAGAAGATCTACAGAAGGTCTTCTACGTCTAGAAAATCTGCAGAAGGTATTTTAGTGTTGAGGGACCTGCTATTTATTCTACGTCTAGAAAAACATGCACAGGGTCTCCAAAGTCTAGAAGACTTGTAGAAGGTCTTCTAGACACCAAAGACGTGTGGCACGCCTTCTAGATCTAGAAGACCTACAGAAGTTCTTAACCAGAGCGTGTGAATTGTTGCTCTGGTTAAGAACTTCTATAGGTCTTCTAGATCTAGAAGGCGTGCCACACGTCTTTGAATCAGTATTTCTTGTTGTAGCAGTAATATATGTTAGCTGTTTCTAGAATACTAGTCTGGTTCTGATTCTGTGTCCAGATTTAAAAAGTCAGCTAATCTCATGGGCTGTAGCCAAAGATCCTATGGATTAAGTTGGGTACGTTTGGCAAGGCAATTAGAAATATGCAGCGTAATGTGCGGGCGTGTATCACACGTGGACGTTCTGTACATCTTTGTCAATTCGGGCCCTATACGGTTTGAGACGTCTGCACCTTTCACAACATAGTTGAACCTAAAATGCCCTGCTTTGTCTAACTTCTGGTTTCTTCATTGCTAATATAAAGAACTGGCCACCGAAACTAAAGATATTTACTGTCTGAAATAGCATTAAACATTAAAAATCTGAACTAATCAAGCACGATTTTTAAATATACCATTGAAAAGGCCACAAGTTCCAAATAACAAATCAATTCTTACAATATTCCGATATGCACTCTAAGTATTTCCTTTCCATATTTCCACAAGGTTCCAAAGGCCATTGTCTAAGGCTCCTAGTTATCATTTCGCATGCACATTTTTGCTTGCTATTCTGTAACGATTTAAATCAATAATCAAATATATATTCAATAATATACATTTCTATTCAAACTAATTGCTGATTTCTCTGATGTCCTTGGATCAAATCAAACTAAACTCTGTTGAATTGCAAAAAAAATAAAAGGAACAGAAAGAAAAGAAAATTACAACAAGTATAACTAACTGTGTGGAACAACAAGTCCCAAAAGAGGTCAGATTCTAATAAGCATGATTTTTTCCTGCATTTCTTATTCCCTTTTTTCCTGCTGTTCTTTTGATTAATAAGTAGGTTGGCTGGCTGGCTGTTGCTTGGTGGGTTGGGGTAGGAATGACAAATTGCTTGTGCAAAACCTTTCACGTCAAACTCCCACATTCCTACCTACCCACCAAGATTCAAGCTCTTGTAGAGGTATATAGAGCAAACATTTTGTTTTAAAGATATCGCTTTCAAATATTATTTGTGTTTTTTTTTTTTATTATATCAATTAATCACTTATGTCATTTTTAATTCATAACGTCAGAAGAACAAACACACAAAAAATACTGGGTAATAAATAAAACACCTGAAGTATTTATTTAATCACTGCTCCTCTACTCTCATTTTGTTGGATTTTCTTTTTCGTCTATGTTTCACAATCTCTCACTTGAAAATTTTCTTTTGGTATCATTGAAAACTATGAGTACTCTCGCACTATTAAATATCTCTCGCTCTTTGTGTATTTTGACATTTCTTGTTCTTCTTCTTCTTTTGACGAAGAAGAAAAACAAACGAGACAGGCGTGACTTTAATACACACCATTACCACACAACCCGCTATGTATGGTAACACAAACGAAAGAGATAACACTATATGACACTAAATATAGATATCAATATATATATATGTAGTATGGATGAAAACCATGGTTCGTGTGTTTGTGCAGCAATATACTTATGAAAGTATAATGATTGCTCATTGATTTCCACAAAAAAAAAGTTTTTTGTGACTGCTTTTGGTCATTTCTTTGATTTTATAACTGAAACGTGCACTTTTTTGTTCATTCAATCACAATTTTGTTTATTTCCCACCCAAGTGAAGTGGTATTTTCATTGGATTATTTCAACTGAAAGCTTGTTGGTTGGTGGTCCAATCTGTCTGTCTCTGCGTTAACAAAATTTAGGCCACCGCCGTCACAGAGTAGAAAAAAATGTTTGCATTTGATTCCTTTCTTCTTGTGTCTGTATATTGGCAAAATATAATCACCTTTTTTGCTAATTTAACTACATTTTTGCAAGTGTTTTTTGTAATTGGATTTTGGAATATTGTTATTTCTTTCTTTTTTTCACTATATACAACACAAAATGATATTCCTTTTTAAAACAGACAGCAGACAGTCAGAGACTTTCGTCGTCGTCGGGGTGTAGTTTATTTTCTTTCTGCATTTATTCTTTTTCCGATTTTTTTTTCTTCCTCCTATTATGCCAAACTCTCTTGTTACTACTCTGACAGCTATGGGCCTCTCTCGTGCATTTGACAAATAAACTCGGAAGGGTTGCCAATCTCTAGTTGATTTGTGAAATAGCAACAATCAGTGTTGCAAAAAAAATGTTTTCCATCAAAATAAAAGCATAACAAATTGCAAATATTTTTAATTATATATAAATATTAATTATTTAGACGAAAGCAATGTATTTTAAGAAAACTAATTGCACAAATAAGAAATTAATATGTTAAATCGTTTCGAAAGAGCGCAGCAGTTGTGAAATGTCAAATCATATGTTTTGTTTATGATTTCCCTGTTGGAAACATAACTAGTCATTAAATTGCCATGAATTGATAACACCACAGCATTTAAGCAGAAAAACTTGACTAACACAAAAAAATATCAATTGGATTCCAATTAGAAATGAATAAAAAAAGACATGTTAACATTATCGTTTATTTAAAAGAATTTTAACCTTGATTTATTTATGTTTTACAAAATAATATTATAGGAGACAGACTACGGGCTCAAAATCCGGGTTTTTTAACATTTCGGGAGTTATATCAAATTTATCAATTTTTTGAACCCGAACTTTGAAAAAAAAAATAGAGTTTAGCTCCAGCTGGTGAAAATTTTGAAATTTTTAACGAAGGCAAATTTAAATTATTGGACCAGAATTTTACCAATTTTTTTGACCCGAACTTTGAAACATATTGAGTTGAGCTCCAGCTGGTGGAAAAATCTGAAATTTTTACCGATGGCAGGTCTTGTAATCCTAATCACAGCGGCATAATTTGCTGGTTTTTTTTCGCGGGAATCAAATATTCAGAGTTCCATATATTCAAAAATCAAAAATATCCCTTTTACTTTGCTGTTTCTAAACCGAAATGTCACTACATGTAGGCTTATATATACGAATTGCAACAACAAAACATTTCTGGGAGGTGGGTCCATATTTCCCGTTACGTATGGCTCCAAAGTATAGTAACAACTCTATGGCGGGAATATGGCGACTAATCAGCAAAATTTCACAAAAGGAGCTATTTTTAGATTTTATCTGGAAAGTATTAATTTCCCCCAAAAAAATTTCCGCCAGCTGGAGCTAAATTCAATTTATGCCCTTATATTTTAGGACCCAAGATAAGAACCAATGGCGACTTTTTTGGTACCTGAGAACCCCTCTAGTTTAGTAAAAACACTTCGATTTTTCGAAAAATTTTTCCAGAGGTAAGTATTTTTACCTTGATTCCGGGATATTATTATTTTTTTTTGGGGGGAACGGACCGCGATCCCAGGTTTTTGACCCGAAATACCGGGTTCAAGACCCGGATCCCCTTACCCGATATAGACAATATAGGTATCGTTTGAAAGCTATACAACAAGTGGTCACATGATGGTATTATTTATAAGCGTTTTGGAAATTATAGTAAAATTATCGATTTGTTGGGCCCGGATTTTTAAGAAACCGCCAAAAATTCAAAAAAGGCCCAATGATAAAATTGTCAATAAAATTGATGCCAAACTATAGCTTAGAGTCTGATCTTTCCAAAATGCTATAATTTGTGCTAATACCTTTTCTGGATCGAGAGAAACATAAAAAGGCACTTTTCGCTTTTTTTTATTTCTGTCCTTTATGAAAAAGTCTGCTGAAATTATGAGTTGCTTCTTAGTCCCTATTCATTTTTCGCAAATACCTAATCTTTTTTGCGTACCAATCCTTTTTTTGATAAGCACATACTAGTCCTAACAATTAGTAATGATTTCCCACAGGGTATTTGCTTCTTCATATGAAATAGACAAGTGTGGATATAGTTACCATCATACTTCAATAATGCCGGTAGCCATATACCTATTAAATCAACATTTCATTTCTATTTTTCACTATAAAACCATGATAACCATTCGTCTTGTTTTACACTTTGTTTATAAATTTAATTTTTATTATAAATTTTCTAATATTTCCTTCCATTTCCACACACAATAATTTTCTTTTAAATAATCACAATATTTCACAGAATAAATTTTTCTGTATGTATTCATTCACATTCACGCACACACAGCAGTTATTGCCATCCTTTTCACTCGCATCGGGTTAATACAACAATTTCATACATGGTAGAATTACAAGGTAACCCTTTCACGCCAGCTGGTATCAATTTGATACGTCAAAAAAATTGTTGTAATTTGAATTCGCCTTACAGATACATAACATAAATTTAAACTTCAAACGGAAACAACAAATAAACCTAGAATTCCTTATACTACTCAACCAAATGACGAAATAATGGTTTTGAATCCTAGGTCTCTTTGGACGTAATCCGTTTCAGAGGTTTGGAGTCCGTTAAGCGATGTCCGCCTTATAGTCTGTTTGTACGCACGATAAGGAAGGAGTATTCGATTTTGTCCAAATTGGCGCATCGTAATTCATCTATCAAAATAAGATCAAGATGGGAATCGGTCTTGCCTCACAAAACGGCATCAGTGCTAGGTTAGGTGCGAAATGGGCAACATCGTTCCACTACATCAAGTACCTCCCCCACAAAGGGTCAACATTTCACATACACCAATATTTTTTTGAATAACCAAAACCTTTATTGAATCCGAAACAGGCATCACATTCTTTTTATATTTTACACATCCCATTATTTCTACTAACTCAAGATAAGCTTTGGTGCCTCCCCCACAAAGGCTCAAAATTTTGAAAATCCATGAAGCTCATAAAACGAGAAATTAACATCCGTTTCTATTGAGACTTGGTACATCTGAATATTTTCATCTACACAAGATCTGTAATAAAGATGGTAGAGATCGGAAATTCACCGTTTAATGTTGATATTGTTGATGGTTCCTTCCTCATATATTGAGTTCTCTGAATTCTTATTGAATTTGTTTCCATTGAGATTTCCATTTCACGGCATTTAACGCATTTTTATATGGTATTGTTTGCTTTTATCGAGTTCTCTTAAACCGGGAAACGTACAAAAACAGTACAATTCACAACAACACAACATTTCCTTGCTTGAAATTTCAATAAAAATTTAAAAATAAACAATATTTTTCAATATTTCAAAATTGTTCTGATTGGTGCAAACCAATTTGCTTCAAATTTTATATGTCAGGTAAATTCGCTTTGCTTTCAATTTTGACATATCAAGTTTCCAAAAAAGTTGCTTTGTTGTAATTTTCGCCTATGTTGCTACCTGATATTTCTACCATGATTTCATATTTTATTTCTATTTTGCTTTTGCACTTCTCTTTGAGGGAAATTCTTTTTTTTTTTGGTCAGGCACAGACAATCAAGCAAAAATGTGAAAATTTAAGACACTGAAACATGAAATTGTAGTTATATTTTGCCTTGCATTTATTTACACCAAACACATTCTGAAGAAATTGAAATGATTTTTACACAATTTGTTTAAATTACCATTTTTATAAATGTTTTTATGATTTTTTCCGGTCTTTAAAGACCAAAAAATGTACAATTTTTCTCCACAAGTCTGTGCCAGTGATGCCAACACAACTGAATTCGTTTCAGAGTGTTACCAAGTTGTTGGCATAGCTGCTGTACTAAATAGGAATTGGTGGCTGGCGTAAGACGTCGTAAAGGCCGTTGACAGGGAGTACAGAGAAAAATTTTCTCTTTATGTTATCGAAAAAAATTGCGAAACTAATAAATTCTAGGTGTGCTGCTTGTGATTGGCCGGAAGGAATTGTCATACATCTTTTTACTTAGAGATAGATTCCTTTTATTGTAAGAAAAATGTAAAAATTAACAGACAGTATTCTTTTAAACCCCACGGCAATCAGCTGATTTGCCAAAAATCGTATATCATAACAACCTCCGATCGGCGACGTCTATGAATACATATAAAAATCTACTTATATTTGAAGAAATATTTAAAAAAATTGACTTTTCAATATTCCCAAGCGTTGATGCATCCCCAATGGCGTATACGTTAAATAAGTATTATTTACAGGTCTAAAGACATGTTTACGTTACAGTTTTTTTCTAGGTTATCGTTCTTTATGTAGATTTATTTAAGGTATATGTAATGGAATTAACAACCGACTGGGTTTTCTAAATCCTTTACACCGTAAACGTACTATAACGGATATAATTTGTCATGTACGCTACTTGTTTCCAAGTTTAATTTTTGAGTTATGCTTTGACCAAATAAAAACATAATTAGAGCTAAAATGACAACAACATCGGGACCCCAATTCTCCGTAGAAACTTAAAGGAAAGGATTGTCCATTGAAAAATTGTATTAAGAATTTTTTCATTTAATTTCACTCTTTCCAATAGCGCCTTCACCAAACTAATATGGCTTGATTTTTTTAATTTTTTTGGTTTATATACATATAAACGTCATTTCCTACTAAATTTCTTGTTCGAGGAAACGACGTCATTAATTTGACGTATAATCAAAGGTATTGACAATCTAAACTAGTAAACTAACAGGATTTATTCATTTCCACATTTTGTTAAAAAACGTTCTGATAAAGGCAACTATTAAAAAACAGCTGTTACATTTCTGCCATGCGTTACGTTGCCAACTAATCATGACTGCGTTTGACATCACTTCATATTCCTTGCTCACGCACACACACAGTCATTCCATTTAAATATCAATTCAAACGGTTCATTTTCTGTGTGTGTTCCCAACAATTCGAGAGGTTTTCGAAAGAATTTTGCAAAATTTAATAAAAACTATTATTTTTCAAAAAATAAAACTACAAATAAATACAGAAAATGTATAAAAATCCTGCCTCTGGCTTGCGGGAACAGCTAAAATCGAAAACGAGCTCCACAAATAATAATAATGCCGGTGAATATCATCAAGGAGCACAAACGACGAACAAAAATCATATTGGCGGGAGTATGGCGACAAATCAGCAGCAACAGCAGCGTACCATGAATAAAAAGGTAAAGAAACTACATTTTTTTAAAGAAGCAAATAAAATAAGTGTTAATTTTTCTAGCTACCGGAGACAAATACCAAGGTAATGACAAATAATGCCATGCCCCCGCCAAAAAGCACAAGCACTGCGGCAAGGCATAATATGGCCACAACATCGAAAATGGGATCATCCACTGCCCCCAAAGTGGCTGAAAGTTGGAAAAAGCCCACAAATCCTGTTGGGACCGGAGCGGCTAGGATCCAAAACAAGGAAAATCTGGCCAACGTTGAAATAAAACAAGAAAACGGCAAGGCAAGTAAACAGCAGTTGAGCAAGGAACAAGATACGCCATCAAGTAGTTCCAATAGTACCTCATCCTCGGCGGAGGACCAACAAAAGACTGGTATGTAAATGATTTTTGGTTTTGCCACTGAATTTCTAATCTTTTTTGGGTTACAGAAATAAAAAAGGATAGCAAAAAGGTATGGTCTCTGTCTAATTTCGATATTGGACGCCCCTTGGGTCGCGGCAAATTCGGCAATGTCTATTTGGCACGAGAAAAAGAATCCAAATTTGTGGTTGCCCTCAAGGTATTGTTTAAACAGCAAATACACGAATCCAATGTGGAACATCAAGTTCGACGCGAAATCGAAATCCAATCCCACCTGAGACATCCACATATTTTACGTCTCTATGGCTATTTTCATGATGAGGCCCGTATATATTTGATATTGGAATATGCCCCAAAGGGAACCCTATTCAAGGAGCTGCAGGCCCAACCACTTAAACGTTTCGAAGAAAGACAATCGGCCATATATATCAAATCGTTGGCCTCAGCCTTGCAATATTTACATGAACGTGATGTCATACATCGTGATATCAAGCCGGAAAATTTATTGCTCGGCCATAAGGGTGATTTGAAAATAGCTGATTTTGGCTGGTCTGTGCATGAGCCGAATTCGATGCGCACCACATTGTGTGGAACTTTGGATTATTTGCCACCCGAAATGGTTCAGGGTAAACCGCATACGAAAAATGTTGATCTCTGGAGTTTGGGTGTGTTGTGCTATGAGCTGTTGGTGGGACGAGCACCATTTTTGGCCACCGAATATGATGATACGTATAAGAAGATAATAAAAGTCGATTATAAGTTGCCTGATCATGTAACGAAGGCGGCTGCCCATTTCATATCGAAGCTGTTGGTGTCGAATCCTCAGCAACGTTTGCCATTGGATCAAGTTCTAATACATCCATGGATTTTGGCTCATACACAATGAGAGATGATGGCAGGCAGGAAGAAGGCACTGATTGTTATTGGCATATTTATTTTTTAATTTCTTTTTTTTTTAGCGATTTTAATGGTATTTCCCCATTCTTTTTGTATATCATCCAGAAGCATTTTTTCAATGTTAATTGTATGTTCAATGTTTGAAGCACTTTTGTGAACTGGTAAAATCCTATTAAATTGGCTATGGGGTTTTGAAGAGCAATCTTTTCCTAAAATGTTTTGTGATTGCCTCGAATATCCCGAAGGAATTTAGGTTTGCCAGCCGCATTATGTGTTGGAATGTATTTTATATAAATGATTTAATTAGTCCCAGTTTTTATAGATATCCCTACAGAGAGCAAAAGATTGAAAAACAAATATTTGTTCTTAATAATTTTAAGGTTTTTTTTTTTAAATATATTTATTACTAATTAGTGTTTCAAAAAAATAATACAAAACATGAATGAAAAATAGTTATTTTTTTAACATAAATACAGGCTTGGCTTCTTTTATTTTTAAATACATATTTTTTAAATTTTGGAAATAATTAGTTTTGAGACGACTGAATTTCTGTGAGTTTTTTGTTTTCTTTTTGTTCAAAGGCCTAAAACTTTTTTAAATGAAATTCCTCTTTTTTTCTGGGTATAACAAAGGGAAGTCCTTTATTAAAGGATCCTTGTTAACCGTACTTTAACATTATCACAGTACAAACAATACAAATATTAATGGAAAAAATGCATGTAGGCGTGTGTGTGTGTGGTTTTGAAATTAGCAAAATTTGGACAAATGAATGTGAAATATAATATCGCAAAGAAATGTCATGGAAATAAAGTTAACAAAATATATTTGGACAACATCCGGCAAGGACCTACATTCTTTACTTGTAGAGATTAAAGAAATGGTTATTGGTTCCTAAAATCCACAAAAAAACCCCCAAGATCAAGTTGTCTTGAAGTTTTGGAATTTTCTACCTTAACATTGATAAAGGTCAGGGTACCTTGAATTTTTGAACTTTACAAAAGTTTATGAACGATTATTCTCCAAATGAAAGGGTAACACTAAAAATTACTAGACATATTTTTGTGAAAAGAATTTGAATTTAAATATGCATTACGAACACATATAACATTAATTTAAAAATATATACTAAATTTCGAAAAAAAAAAATATGTGATCCTTCCACTTTTACTTAAAGATTTGATGAAAATGTTGTTTTAAATTCTACACAGTTTCGAAAACACATTAGGCCGGTGGATCACATACCCGTCCTCAGGAAAGGAAATTTATCAAATTGAAAGCTTAATAATAAATATTTTATATCTATACTTATTTCATAAATAATATTCGATAATCGGGTTTTTGTTTTATTTTTTTTTAATAATGTGTACTCATCTCGTCGGTATAGCTTGGTTTAATGGCGTATAGCTTTATCAGCTTTCCTTTTAGCCGAGGGATTTGAATAGTCATCTGGAAAAATACAAAACAAAGTTGAAAAAAAAATAAATAAAAAATTACCACTCTTAAAAATTTATTAATATTGGACGGGTCGGACTTTGAATACGCTCCAACATTTGGAATGAATTTGGAAATTTTCAAAAAATAAAATCCGTAAAAAATTCTGTTAAAATCTTAAAAATACCGAGTCTATACGACTTGGACCTACATAGGTATTATTTGTCATAAGCCATTACCATATTCAAATTCGATAAACAATGAATAACGTAGCTAAAATCATCAAAATACCGAATATCGGAACGTACCGTTATATGGGGGCTATACGAAGACTTGGACCTGCACAGACAATTTTTTGTCATAGACTGTATTATCTATCACAAACTTCAAATACCAATATTGAAACAATTCCGATGAATAATGTAGCTAAAATCATCAAAATACCGAATATCGGAACGTACCGTTATATGGGGGCTATACGAAGACTTGGACCTGCACAGACAATTTTCTGTCATAGACTGTATTATCTATTACAAACTTCAAATACCAATATTGAAACAATTCCGATAAATAATGTGGCTAAAATCATCAAAATACCGAATACCGGGAGGTTCCGTTATATGGGGGCTATACGAAGACCTGGACCTGCACAGACAATTTTCTGTCATAGGCTGTAGTATCCATTTCGAACTTCAAATACCAAATTTAAAACAATTCCAGTGAAAAATGACGCTGGAGGGTATAAAAAGTATCAGTCGGTTTCGCCGTCAGATGTATACCCTCAGCCAGGCTCTCTGGAGAGACTCCCCTTATGTCACCTTTTCTTTTTTTGGTAAACAAAAAAAAAACTCCCTTTGATACTTCTCTTTGTTGGTGTTAAAAAATTCCTTCGCTCGCAAAAAAGACTTACTTTTGGTCGGCAAACATTTGGTCACCTTAAAGTACCTACTTTAGTTGGAACCCCCTTTTTTTGCTTTATCAGATTCTTTCTGGACGCCTTAAAATGCCCCCTCATTTAACCAGACTCCCTTCTGGTCATCTGAAGAAATTCGACTGGCCTATAAAACCTCTGTGGCCAATCTGCCCATCTATGAACGACAACTTTACAAAAGATTGGGTCTTTAACTCTTCTTTCCAAGCCTTCAGCTTTTGCCTGTAATTCGTCGCTTCTGCCCATTTTCCCTCTACTCTGCCGCTACAGCAAACCCTGCTTCCGCACATTAGCGCATTCATTACAGTATCTAAAAATAAAACCCTTTTCCACTTACCATCATCGTCCTCCTCCATAGCACCACCTTCACCCTCATCTAAACGTAGACCATCGCCAAATTCTTTACCCTGATCTTCGGCTACTTCATTTTTTAAATTATCATCCATTAGTTGTTGATTGTGTTTGACAGCAATGTCACCGGCTGCAGCACCGCCATCGACCATTTCGTTATCTCCTGCCATAAGGCCACCAGGACCACCCATGAGATCATCATCATTATTGACATCATCAGCACCAAAGTCATAATTATTATTGTTGTTGTTATTATTATTGTTTGAAGCCTTTAAACCGGCAGCTGCGGCCTTGGCAAGATTTTCTTCATTTTTATTATTTGCCTCCTCTTCGGCATTCTTCGACTGCTGGTCATTATTCGACTTTTGTAGCAAATCTTCAAAATGTTCCGGATATGGGGCAACATTTTCGGGTAATTTCTTTTGATTGGGTGGCAATGCCAAGGGTGGTGAGTTACTACTTGTGCTGCTGCTGATAGCATTGTCGCGAGCAGTTCTTGTATTAGCCAAGGTGGCATTGTTCAATGCAGCTGCAGCCATTTGAGGTTCGGACTTTGTTGAGGGCGATGATGAGCCTGATTTATTATGTTTTGGTGCACCCAATGGTGCAACTTGTTGTTTGCGTTCTTCTCGTTGTTGTTGTTGTGGTTGCTCTTCCCCATCAGGCTTCATCTGATCGTCGACTCTTTTGATGGGCTTTGGTACAATCTGAAAATTTTCAACGGAATTTAGTATTAAACTACCATTATAATGTTTGTTTATCAGAGGCTTAAACACTGGATTAGTATTTGAATTGAATTGTGTATCTTGTTTAGTAGGAGTAGAAATAGTAGAAGTAGTAGTTGTTGTTGTAGTTTGTTTTGTATTAGAATAAAAATCCTTGCGAGGTCCAACACCATAATCTCCTGCCTTATTATTTTTTAAATCGTTTAATGTATTATTTCTAGTTGTGTTTACCGAAATACGGTAAACGCCATCACTCACTGGCTCCTGTAGGTTGAACGTTTTTTGACTGGTGCTACTGGGGGGATTGTCGACAACGTTGGATTGTGGAAACACTGGATTTCGTGATTTATAATCACAATGTGATTGGTAGTCTTTTAGTTGAGCTTCCAGTTCTTTAAGGCGGTCCAGTTGCTGTTGTGTCTCTGTGGCCGAGAAAAGATTTTCCAAACGTTGTTTTTCTTGTTCGGCGGTATTATATTTTTCCTGCAAAAAAGAGAGACGAATTGAGAATCAGAATTTTATAAGTTTTAAAAGACCTGACTTACCTTCCACATATATACCTCGCCAGATTTGTTGGACTTCTCCTTATTTAACTCGGATTTTAGCGATTGTACCTTCTTCTCCAGGCCGTTTATATTCTCCAGATGTTGTTTGTTCGATTTCATACTTTCATCTTTGAGTTCCTTGTGTTTACTTTGAAGTAGCTTATGGGCCTGTTCCAGTTTTTCGTAACGCATTTGTGCCTCCACTTGTTCTTTTTGATATTTTTCGTCGGTGTTTTTAAGTTTTTGTTCCAGGTTACGTTTTGTCTCCAAAAATTCGGTACGTTCACGTTCCTGATTCTTTTCCAAGTGGAATTTCTGTTCGACAAGGGCTATAAAAGGGAAGAAATTCATCAAATTTTTTAGTTAATTTTGGATGTAAAATAATTAATCATTCCTAGTGAGCTCGAAACAAGTTTTTTCAGAAATGAATGGCAATTGAAAGACATATTCCTGGAAGTTGGATTGCTGACCTTTGGGCGTCACCAAACGTAATTGGAAAACATAGTATTGGAACCTCTACCAAGTTTATACTAATTATAATTGCAATATCTATAACTTTAGTCTAGCACAAGAAATAAACGTGATTGCAAAATCTCGATACAATATGGAATCAACCCACTACTTCTACCTAGCCCTGATTAATCTGGTTCCATTTCCTATAATTTCTATGAACTTACATGTCAACCTCTCGTTTAACGCCTCCTGTTGTTGTTCACAGTGTAAACGCTGTTCTCGGGTCTCATCCAATTGTAACTGAGAACTATGGAATATGACCACCATGCCCACCATTAGCACCAGTATGGCAAAACAAACCAAAAATCGACATCGCCCTGTGCGGGCGAAACGTGTACCACTCATCTTGCGTTTATCCAGTTTCAAGGTATTTCAATAATCGTATGGATGATTATATTTTAAAATTTAATTAATTAGTTTTCCTTTTTTTGCTTCTGTCTTGTTCAAAGTAGGTCTCTTCCCTTTTTGCCTTTGTTCTAGTTCAAGGAAATTGTTCACTGTGAAAAATTATGAGAACTAGTTCCTTTCTCTTGAAGGATGTCACTGATCCGTTGTTCAATAAAAAAACCTTAAACAAATAAGAATATTGTGATGGGCTTCAATAAATTATGTTTGTTTATTGTTTATTCATATTAATTATAAAATATAAGTTTCATAAAATCCATATATCCCTAACAACAAATGATGTAGTTCCTTTAGTGAATAAAGTAACTAACAAACAAGACATTTAAAAACGTTCCAAACGTTACGAACTATAATGAATAGAAAAACACAATAAAGATAAGAAAGACAACTGAAAAACAATTTGATCATCTGTCTTTTCTGTTTACGAATGTAGGGAGAGTCTAATAAAAGAAATTCAGCTGTTATGGAAAAATATGATTATTGAGAGTTTAATCGTAACGTAACACAAGTGTTACAACGTATGGCGATATGTGTTTAATAATGATACAATAAAAATATAAGGTAAAGCTACCAGCTGGTTACAATATTTTTCTGAGTGTGCCCGTTTAGTTACTGTTTTGAAAAATAAAAACAAAATATTTATTGTTAATTTCGTGTTATATGAGCAAAATGGAGCAAAATTGGGCCATCTTTACTTTTTCTGTGCAGCAAAATATTTTCTTTTTAAGCCAATTCCATAAATTTACTGGCAATTTAACATCGAACATGACTGCTAATGTGACCTCTACCTAAAAACCCCCAACAAAAATGAAACAATCGATTGTTGCGCAAAACTGACACTTTTGTGTGATAATGTGTATCCCCCTTTTAATCGATTGGTCGACAGTCCAAAAGTCGACCTACCGAACCCTATTCAAAAGTCAGTTGGTTTTTTTCGGTTTTTGCACGGGGAGCTGGGACTGGTGTGTGTGGTGTTTTTGAAATTAATAATAAAAAACTACAACAAAAAAATTTGATTAATTCAAAAGTCAATTAATAAATAATAAAACTACAAATCAACAAATTCACACAAAGTAAGTGATACAACAACAAAAAATAAACGTTCTATACGACATGGCTGTGTTTTGTTGCTGCCGACAAATGACATTGTTTATAGAGATTTGCAAAAATTTAGCTGTGTATTTATTGCAAATATATATTGTTAAAAGATAGATATATAAAGAATTCGAGGAAATTTTAAATAATATGAATATGAAGATGATCCGCAATGAAATTACGTAAAGTGGAATGGAAAAAAAAGTGTGCCGACATTGGGGGTAGTTAACATGATGAGCTTGACTACGTGCAGTTGCTGTAATCAGAGCTTGTTGCTTTTGTTTTCAAGTCTTCGACCTTTTTTGTTGTTGTTGTCGGCCCAGTGCGATTGCTCGCTGCTTTTTGGAAATCTCAAGAACAAAATTGATTGATTTTTATTTTGGAATGTGGTGTGGGTCTCAAAGCACCCATACCTGCCCTAGTTTAGTAAGTCATTCATTTGTTTCGTGGAACTGGTTTCTACCAAATTTCCCTGAAAATCAAAGCAATAACTGCTATCTTCACAGTCTGTGCGTGCTTTTTTTGGCAAGAACTTGTTGCCAGGAGCAAAGTTCTTTTTAAACTGTTCCGTTCAGTTTTTGTTTATATCTTTATGTTTTTATTAAAGCAAGCAAAAAAAAACGACAACAATATTATTATTGTTATTTTGTTGTGATAAAACAAACGCATAATATATTCTTTGAGCTGTATGCCGCCGCTGAATATTGATTACACTCTCATATAGCTCATGGTTGAAATTTGTTAGGTTCTTTGAAGGTCACCAAAACCAAACTTAGTTGGATGAGAGGGTATGTATTTTTATTAAACAGTCAAGTCTAATAACAGGTATATATTTTTGGGAGATCGTTTGTCAGGTGGTAATATCACAAATAAAAAGGAGATTCTATTTGGTTATATGGGAACCTATACAGGATGAGATAAAAAAAAACTGCAAAAAAGTCAAACGCCATAATTTTTACATTTTGTTTTTAATTTTTATTTAATGAAGGCAAAAAATGTTGGAAATAGCGTCAAATTTTAAAATAAGTTTAGATTTGTTCGAATTGTTCACCTTTGGTACGAATTATGGCCATCAAACGGCCAATGAAACCGTCGTACGCTGCCCGAATGTTGCTCTGCGATTCTCCGTGGAGCGCTTGCTTGAGGTGATCGACACTTTGGTATTTTTTAGTGCCAACCTTGCTTTCCAAACTACTTCAGGTACAACGGATTTGTATCCGGAGATTTTGGAGGGCATTGAGCGTTGGAAATGAAACGAGGAACCGCATTTTTGGAACCATTCTTGAGTTGCGCGTGCTGACTGCGCTTGCTTGAGGTGATCGACACTTTGGTATTTTTTAGTGCCAACCTTGCTTTCCAAACTACTCCAGGTACAACGGATTGGTATCCGGAGATTTTGGAGGGCATTGAGCGTTGGAAATGAAACGAGGAACCGCATTTTTGGAACCATTCTTGAGTTGCGCGTGCTGAGTGCGATGGTGCTAAGTCCTGTTGGAATGTCCAAGGTCTGCGGCCAAAATGTTTGCAAGCCCAAGGCTTTAATACACCCTTCAGAATATTTTCGCGATAATATTTGGCATTTATTCTGATGCCACGGTCGATTCGATTTCGATCAAGTTGCTTCTTTCAGATGTTGCTGTTTTCTTCCGTCCACTTCCTTGACGTCGGGCTACGCTACCAGTATCACGGTAACGAGCGATGCTACGAGACACAAAAAATGTATTCACATTTAAATGCTGAAGTGCGCTAACGATAGCCAGTTCTTTACGTAAAAAGAGTCGTATACTGAACTTTCTTTCCCGAACGTCTGTAAGCGTATTAAGAAAGACTTCATAGGGTTTGGCTGCACTTTATCTAAATAATGTAAATAATAATGTAAACCGTCTGATTGATCCATAAAGATTACCAACACTCGTTATAAATATTAAATTCTTATTCATATCGATACTTGTGCCAGTCAAACAAGTTTCATATTCAAAGTATGGCCAGGTGTTACAAGAATATACAACGTTATCGTCTGTTTTTTTAAGCAATCTCTAAAAGGTTGGAAAATATTAGCCGAGAAAAAAAGGGTAAAACACATTTAAAAAAATCAAAAATTAATCAAATTCTGAAAAATATATATATAAAAACAGCACTGAAAGTCGGTCGAATAATTGTTAAAATTATTAACAAATAAAGTTAGAATTCTGAAAATATTTGTTTTTTCAGATTCACGTAATTTGGTTCCAACTCAAAAATTCGTTTACATGCGCGGTTGCCATATAATAGCCACTCCACTAAGAAACCTGCTGGTTCATTGCGTTCATACTGGAATTCAAGAAAAAAGAGATAGAAGGAGTGAAAAAGCAGTTAGTTCGGCCGGGGCGAACTTTGAATACCCTCCACCATTTGGAACGCATTTGGAAATTTAAAAAAATCAAATAAGTTAAAAAATTTTGTTCTAATTTTAAAATACTAAATATTTGAAGTCGCCGTTATATTGGCGTGGACAAGCAGCATAGGCAACATTTCTCATAGGCCATTACAATATTCAAACACGAAACTTGAAAAAATATCCGGTGAATAATGTCGCTATAATCATCAAGATACGGAATATGGGGGCGTACCCTTATATGGAGGCTATACGAAGACGTGGACCTGCACAGACAATTTTCTGTCATAGGCTGTAGTATCCATTACGAACTCCAACTACCAAATTTGAAACAATTCCGCTGAATAAAGTCGCTAAAATCATCAAAATACAAATATTGGGAGGAACCATTATATGGAGGCTATACCAAAACGTGGACCTACATGACCCATTTTAAATACCAAAAGTTCTGCAGACATAATACACATTTGAGTAAAATTTTATCAACCTACTTCATTTCGTTCGGAAGCTAGAGTGATTTTCACAGACGGACAGACGAACGGGCAGCGCTAAATCGTCTTAGAATTTTATGCTGATCAAGAATATACATACTTTGTGGGTGTATATTTCGAGGTGTTACAAACGGAGTGACAAACTTAATATACCCTCCATACTATGATGGAGGGTATAATAAGTGAAATCCCTCACAAATTTCATATAAGGATATACATTTTTAATTCCTTTGCAAAAAATCTCTTCTTTTTTCAAACCACGAAAATCACATAAAACAGTTTGCTATAAGTATATAAAAATCTGTGATTACATCTATTAAAGAGCTTTGAAATAATATTCTTTAAAAAAGAATCACAATTCCAGCTTTGCTCTGAGTCGTCTTGTGAACCAAAAACACTAATAACAACAACGATATCCAAATATTATTGTTAAACATGTTTTGCTGTTTATTTGCTCTCTACTTCCAGTTATTACGAATCTAGTCTGCCCGGCGTTGATTGAAACTATTAGCACTTGGCTCATTATTGGAGTGAAAATTCGTTTTAAAGCTTTTAAATAAAGCATAGCAACAATGGGTAGATTTGTGTAGGCACATTTAAATACAATCTACAGCAATAACAAAAAAAAAAAAAACACTGTTTTTAAAAGATTTTCTTATCGAGGTCTTTGAACCATAAATCTTCACGAAATGAAATGTGCCGAAAATTTATTGATGATGACGTTAAAAATGTTTGCAGTGCGTTGCAGCAATTGAATGTTGTATTGCACAATCGTAAATCGGCAAGATGTGCGATTTATCGACAGTGGGGCCTTGAATGAATTGATTCTTTTTTTCATAAGACAAAAAACATGAGATGTATAAAGAAAGTTTGTTGAGTTAACTTAATGAACCTTCCCTAAAAAATTGGAAAAAAATTATATTAGGAATTTGAAATCGATTCTTAACTGAGAGAAATTCAATTCTAAAAAGGATATTTTTTAAATGACACTAACTTGGGATTTCCTTCTTCTAAGATGTATATATTTGTATCATATCACATCAATTTGCCCGGCTTATAGAGGTTTTACTGCATTTTGTTTTTTTTTAATTATTTGTAATCAATACTCTTTATAGAGACACTAGGTCATATAAACATATATATCAATGCATGTGCATTCGCACAGACAGTCATTATCAATTTTTTTGCTAGATTTAAGAGGAAAGAACAACAACAACAACAAATAAATGTGTCAAATACTCATCGAAATCTACCATGAACGAGCGAATCGGAATCAATTAATAACAACGTACTAGACATTTTGTATTACAACGTAAATTAATTGATGAATGAAAACAGACAATGAAACCTTAGCTCTTTTTTTGTCCGGTTTATTTTAATAGAGGGTGATTTGAAAACAAGTAAAAAAGGTGTAAATTCGGCTGGCTCAACTTTGAATACCCTCCACCATTTGGAATTAAGTTTGCCACTTTAAAAAAAATAAATAAATAATAAAATCCGTTAAAAAATCTGTTAAAATCTTAAAAATTCCGAATGTGGGTCTATGCGACGGCGTGGACCTACATAGGCCACATTTGTCGTAAGCCAATGCGAAACTTGAAACAAATTCGGTGCATAATGTAGCTAAAATCATCGAAATACCGAATATCGGGGACAATTTTCTTTCATAGGCTGTAGTGTCTATTACGAAATTCAAGTATGAAATTTCAAACAATTTCGGTAAATATTATACCTAAAATCGTCAAAATACCGAAAATCGGGAGGTGCCGTCATATGGGGTCTATACGAAGACGTGGACCTGCATAGACAATTTTCTGTCATAGGCTGTAGTATTCATTACAAGCTACAAATACCAAATTGGAAACATTTCCGGTAAATAATGACGCTTAAATCACCAAAATACCGAATATCGGATGGTATCGTTATATGGGAGGTACCATTATATGGGGGCTATTACAAAACGGACCATTTTCAATACCAAAAGTCCTGCAGAGATAATATATATTTGAGTAAAATTTTATCAATCTACTTCAATTCGTTCGGAAGCTAGAGTGATTTCCACAGACGGATAGTGTGGCGGACATCGCTAAATCGACATAGAATTTTATGCTGATCAAGAATATATGTACTTTAAGGGGTCTAAAATGTATGTTTCGAGGTGTTACAAACGGAATGACAAACTTAATATACCCCCCATACTATGGTGGAGGGTATAAAAACCGGTAAGGAAAGGCCAAAAGTCGGGCGTATGATAGATAACTTTCACAATTTATCCAATTTGGATTGATATTACATATATGGTGGATAATAACAGTTAAATCGGATGAAGTTGAATATCGAAGGTATATAAAAATCTAAACCGATCTCGATAAAATTTAGTAAGGTTATTTTCGAGCTACCGGACATTAGTCCGACATTACATTAGTTACATTAGTCCGGTATCAAATATTATTTTGGTGTGCATATTACGCATGTGAGGGACTTAAAACCCCAAATCGGATGAAACATTTATATGGGAGCTATAGCTATAGCTGAACCTATTTTCGCCAAATTAGCTGTATTTGCTTCTGGACTGAATCCGGACGGATATGCCAAAATTTAGGTCATTTGGACTGATATAGGCCATTTGGAGCACAATTAACCCGAAATCGGTTGAAAATATCTACCTATATCTAAATTTGAACCGATTCTTGGGCCAAACATATATTATTTTGATAATTTCATCTCAATCGGATAATAATTGTGAACTGCATTTTGTTCAAAAAAAAAAAAAAAAAAAAAAAAAAAAAAAAAAAAAAAAAAAAAAAAAAAACATGGACAGAAAGTGATTCGATGAAGATCCTCAAAAGTAGCTATGACTCTATGTCGCTTCCTTCTTCCTGTTACAAACAAATGCACAAAGACATAATACCTTTACCTCAATGTGGTGTAGGGTATAAAAATTGGGAAGACTATTAAAAATAACTCATACAATCCGGAAAGTGACAGAAATCTATATTTGATTTTGATAGTGCGGTTCATATAATGTAATCTTTGAAGGTTATTTCATGGTCCAATCTTAAATGATACATCCTCTTTTGGCAGCATACTCTTTCCAACATTTTGGCCGATATCTCACCAATAAATGCGGTTAGAGGTTTCTCAGCCAATGACCTCTTTCGTGGTTAATTTGGATTAGTACAAATGCGACTTAAATGGTCCATCCTCTTTTGGCGACACACTGTTTCAAAGATTTCGGCCGGTAACTCACGAACAAATGCGGTCAGAGGTTCTTCAAGGTTTCGTGGTTAATTTGGATGAAATCATAACGGTCTTGGTGTGAGTTTAGTACTTTTGTTTAGGTGCAACTACTACAGGTGCCGGGAAATTCGAGCCAAAACAAGTTGAGAAGGTTGTACAGTCTATTGATATTCTAATGAGAATTCAGAGTGGAATTACTGAATTATGGGATGTCAGAACTTGCTTCCCTCATTCGAAGATATCTTTGCCCTATTCCCATAAAAACAACGAGTCATATATTTTTAATTAATTCAACTAATTAACAACAAACGACAAGTACATTAACATTTACAGTTCACATGGTTGGCATATTCAATACGGATTTTTGTTTTGTAAATAATATAATCTCTAAAATAAATATGTTTCTATTCAAACATACAAGTGACACATATTTAGACAAAAACACTCGACAATACAACTGGGACAGATTCGGTTGTTTCTTATCACATTCGTTAATGCACATTGTAAAGCAAAGAGTAAGTATGATATGCGGGTGCTGTATCAGTCAGCTAGATATTTTTCTCGTTTTAAATCCGCACTGTATTTTATCACCAAACCTGTTGTAGAAGGGACAACTACTGAATCTATTTATTTAATTCATTTAATTTTTTTATGTTATGTTTTAAAATAGTCTTTTTAAATATTCACCTTTAAGGCGCCCAACTTAGTTTGATGCCTAACTAAGTTTAGTTCGGAAACCAAATGCTTTGCATTTCGTACCATAAATGTGATAATAAAAACATTTTCAAACCTGTATGCCAATTAGAAACCAACCGGTATTCATACATAATTCTTGATTTCTTTATTTCAGAATGGCTCCCCAACAAGATCAGCAGCAGCAGCAACAACAGCAATTTGCGTAAGTCTATTCTATTATTAAAATGCTTGATTTCTAATTTTTTATTATTGTATCAAAAAAAAAAGTTATCAATAACAGCACGTGATTCATTTTTAAAATCATTGAAAATATACCAATATCTTGTCTCGAAATTTATTAGGGTGGCCGCCTCATAAACTGGAATTCTTGGCAAATTAGAAATATGATCACTCGAAACTGAACTCGAAAGATAAATACATATTTCATGAGTATTTTTCAAATTAAATAAAAATCAACAATTTAAAAAAGTGCCTTTCAGAAAAGTGTTTTTTAAGAGATCACTTTCGAATCTTCATAAAGAAACAGGAAGTACGGAAATCCACAGTTCAAATCCATTTAATATTACACAGTGGATTTTTAAATATTTGTTTAGTTGTTTCCTCCACCTACTGTTCATTCCACTTTCACTGTAAAATTCTAAAAATATTTATTTCAACGCTACAATTTAATGATGCAGAATGAGAAATATGTAAATGAAATTTTGCCTGTCTATATGCGCATTTTTTTGTTTTGTTTTATATACATTGTTGTTGGAGTGGATGTGTGTGTGTGTGTGTTCTGATTGCCATTTTTTTCACCTAAGCACTATACAAGGCCAATGAATGTCACTTTCAAATATAAATTATGAAAATGCGTGGGGTATAGTAAAAATGATTAGGGTTGACTAGGGTAAAATCTCAAGAGGTGCTGTACTTGCCTATAGAAGCCTTCAAGTTCGTTTTGTGTATAGAAGACCACTGTTCACAAAAGACTTTGAGGTCTTCAATTACCACAGAAAATCTTAAGGAAAACCAAAAAATAATCGTGAGGTCTTCTATAGACAAAAAACCTTCTATTGACTGTAGACCTCAAGGTCTTTGTTATAGAAGACCTCAAGATCTTCTATTGACTATTGACCTTCTATTGCCTTTAGACCTCAAGGCCTTTGTTTAGAAGACCTCAAAGTCTTCTAGGGATTATAGAAGACCTCAAAGTCTTCTAGTCACCGCAAAGGACCTCAAGACTTCCGGGTCTGTTATTTTCTATGAAAGAACTCAAAATCTTTTATAGACCTCAGAGTTTTGTATTGTCTATGGAAGACCTTAAGGTATTCTTATTGTCTATGAAAGCTCTTATATTGTCTATGAAAGACGTCAAAGTGTAGTATTACCTATGGAAGAACTGTAGAAAATCTCAATGTCTTCTATTGCTTATAGAAAATCTCAAGGTCTTCTATTGTCTTTAAAATACCTCAAGGTCTTCTTTTGCCTTTAAAAGATATCAAGGTCTTCTGTTGTATTTAAAGGACCTTAAGGTCTTCTATTGTCTTTAAAAGACCTCGTGGTCTTCTGTTAACTTTAGAAGACCTTTAGGTCATCTGTTGTCTGTGGAAGACTTAAAAATCCGATATTTTCTATGAAAACACCAGAAGGTCTTCTATTGTCTTTAGAATACCACAAATTCTTCTATTGACTTTAGAAAACCTTTGGGTCTTCTGTAGTCTATGGAAGACATTTAAAATACCTTTATTGTGTATGGAAGGCATTAAGGACTTATATTGTTTTTAAAAGACCACAAAGTCTTATATTGACTTTAGAAGACCTTAAGGTCTTCTGTTGTCTTTTGAAAACTTCAAAATCCACTTTTCTCTATAAAAGACCTCAAGGTCTTCTATTATCTTTAGAAGAGCTCAAGGATTTCTGCTGTCTTTAGGAAACCTCATGGTCTTCTATTGTCTTTAGAAGACGCCAAGATCTTTAATTGTCTTAAGAAGACCTCAAGATCCTCCATCGTCATTAGAAGACCTTAAGGTCTTTTACCTTTAGAAGACCTCAAGATCTTCAATTGTCTTTAAGAGACCTCAAGGTCTTCTATTGCCTTTAGGAAACCACATGGTCTTCTACTGTCTTTAGAAGACCTCAATGTTTTCTATTGTCTTTAGAAAACCTCAAATACTTCTATTGATTTTAGAAGACCTAAAGGTCTCCTGCTGTCTATGCAAGACTTCAATATCCAATATTCTCTACAAAAGTCCTCAAGGTCTTCTATTATTTTTAGAAGACCACAAGTCTTCTGTTGTCTATGGAGTACTTCAAAATCCGCCATTCTCTATAAAAGACCTCAAGGACTTCTATTATCTTTAGAAGACCACAAGGTCTTCTACTGTTTTTAGAAGACCTTAAGATCTTCTATTGTCTTTAGAAGACCTCAAAGTCTTCTATTGTCTTTAGAAGACCTCAAGGTCGTCTATTGTCTATAGAAGACATTTAATAGACCTCAAGTTCTTGTATTGTGTATAGAAGGCCTCAAGGATTTGCATTGTCTTCTATTGTCTTTAGAAGACATTTAAAAGACCTTAGGCTCTTCTTTGGTCCACAGGACGACCTCAACGCCTGTTATTATCTGAAGGCTCTCTAAGTGTTTTGTTGTCTACAGAGATACAGACTCTTGAATGTATAGAAGAAGATCTCAATATGTACTGTTGTCTCTAGGGAATTGGAGGAATCCGTGATCTTCAATTATCTAAGCAATGCTGAAAGATTTATTTTTTTTTTTTTTTGGAACACTTCGTCATACCTATTTTTATGTGTAATGTGTATTCATGACCACCTTTTTTATTCTTTTTCTTTACTAAAAAGTTTTACCTATAAACCTGAAATAATTTGTTTCATTATTTGTATTATTTATCAAAAAGTGTAGTTTACCTCATGTAATACAAGATACTAATGTATTCGATATCCGGCGACCTCCTTCAATGCTTTTGGCCCATTTTATAAAATAAATCATGCTTTATGCCAGTGATTCTTAAGTGCATAGCTTTCTGATTTCTTTTGTTATTATATGCTGACATTAAACACTTAAGAAGTGACGTTGATGTATGTTCAGAGAAAAAACATCAAATAGCGCTTCCTTTATATTTAAGAGGCCTCTCACCTCAACGGTTTAACAAACACTCATAAGTGTTGCCAACTTTTTGTAATGGAAATCCGCATAATTGAATTTTACTTTGCCATATAGGGAGAAGAAAATAATATAAAATGAGTGGGAGAGAGTCAATTAGAACTAAATATTCAAAAAAAAAAAAAAAATAATAGTATTTTTGCTGCCCCAATATATTAAGTTTTAGTACCATCTGGCCATAATTGTCATTAGAATGCCTTTGTGTTTTTCTTGAGGAACTATCTACCCAAAGTGAAAAAATCGCTAAATTGGCAACACTGCCAAATCAAGAGAATAGAACTGAGGCAAATGAGAGCAGTGCATTTTTAGTAGCTGTCACTAAATATTTTAGCGCCCATTAAACTTGACAACGAAAAAGTTAACATTGTAACTATTTTCCAATGGCATTTTTCAATCAACAACAGAAAGACGAAAAAAAAAACAAACAAATTAAAATACATACACCCGGCAAACAAATGACCACAAATAAAAACAGATAAGCAAGAGAAAAATACATTAAATTGTAGGTAATTATTTTTGGGGGGATTAATCAATGATTGTTTCTGGCGTGCTTGCCAGCTCGCCTGCTGCTTGCTCTTTTGTTTACTGATCAATCATTTAACAAGAAATAATAGAAAAACATGTGTACTTTTTTCTATTCTTTAATTTGTGTGCTAATTAGATGTCGCGTGTGATTGATATTTCAGCGATTATTGTTTAGGCCCATAGTGATTATGAAAAGTTAATAAATATTTAACACTGTCGTCGTTCGTGGTTCGATACAATTGGAAATTCAAACTTTAAACGACATGAAATGTGTACATCTATAAATATTATTGATAGTTGCTTGTCGATAAGAATTAGTTCGACATTTTTTTGTGTTTATTGAATTAGCGATAAATGGTATAAGTGTATGTAAAACAATAACAACAAACACAGCAACGACGATAATGATGTTGACATTTTGAAAACTGTTTTCAAAATTTATGATCGTTATGGAGGCGATCTATTTTAGGGTAAGATATATTCAGATGTAATACGAATTGGAGGAAGTAATTTGGGTTGATAAGAAATATTGGGGTCTTTCATCTTGTGTGTAGGAAATGGGAAATTCTACTAAATTAGACAACCTTTCATTGGGTCTTTATTTAAAATCTATTAATTACTTTGTTTAGGTTATAGGGCTTGCAGTAACCTTGTGTGACAACTACTTTACTGGAAGACTATAGAATACTTCAATACCTCGTATTGTATATAGAAGACCTCAAGTCCATCTATTGCCTATAGAACACCTCAAGGTCGTCTGTTCCCTTTAGAAGACCACAATGTCTTCTATAGCCTATAAAAGACCTCTAGGCCCTCTATTGCCTATAAAAGACCTCTAGGCCCTCTATTGCCTTTAAAAGACCTCAAGGTCTTCTATTGCCTTTAGAAGACCTCAAGGTATTCCAATGCCTTTAGATCTCAAGATCTTCTATTACCCATAAAACACCTCAAGGCCTTCTATTGCCTATAGAATACCTTAAGTTTTTCTATTGCCTTTAGAATACCTTAAGTTTTTCTATTGCCTTTAGAATACCTCAAGGTCTTCTATTGTCTTTAGAAGACTTCTAAAGACAGTATAAGACTTTAAAAATTTAGAAAACCTCAAGGTTTTCTATTGCTTTTAGAAGACCTCAAAATCTTTCGTTGCCTTTAGAACACCTCAAGGTTTTCTATTGCCTTTAGAAGACCTCAAAGTCTTCTTTGTCTTTGGAAGACCTCAAGGTATTCTTTTGTCTCTGGAAGACCTCAAGGTCTTCTATTGCCTATAGAACATCTTAAGGATTTCTATTGCCTATAAAACATCTCAAGGACATAGAACATCTCAAGGTCTTCTATTGCCTTTAGAAGTTCTCAAGGTCTTCCATTGCCTTTAAAAGGCCTCAAGGTCTTCTATTGGCTTTAGAAGACCTCAGGAGACTCTTTGTAGAATACCTTAAGAATAGAATACTTTAGAAGAACTTGGGCCTCTTCGATCCGAAATACCTCATAATTCCGCAAATAAAGCAATTTTATGAAATTATGTTTTTTTTTGTCCTATTCCGATTACAGTTTGTTACCAAAAATCATCAATGGCGGTATTGCCGGCATCATTGGTGTATCATGTGTATTCCCCTTGGATTTGGTCAAAACTCGCCTGCAGAATCAACAAGTTGGTCCAAATGGCGAGAAAATGTACAAAAACATGTAAGTGATTTCAAAAAATTATCTATGAAAAATTGTTTAAAGTAATCGGTCTTTATTTCAACAGGTTCGATTGTTTCCGCAAAACATACCGGGCCGAAGGCTACTTTGGCATGTATCGTGGCTCAGGTGTTAACATCCTACTCATTACACCCGAAAAGGCCATTAAACTAACTGCCAACGATTATTTCCGCCACAAACTCACCACCAAGGATGGACAATTGCCAATGACTAGTCAAATGATTGCCGGCGGTTTGGCTGGTGCATTCCAAATTATTGTTACCACTCCCATGGAATTGTTGAAAATTCAAATGCAAGACGCTGGTCGTGTTGCAGCCCAAGCGAAAGAGGCTGGCAAGGCGGTGGAGAAAATCTCCGCCACAAAATTGGCTAGCCAGTTGTTGAAAGAAAAGGGCATATTCGGTTTGTACAAGGGTATTGGCGCCACCGGTTTGCGTGATGTTACATTCTCCATTGTGTATTTCCCATTGTTCGCCACGCTCAATAAGTTTGGTCCACGTCGTAATGATGGTTCCGGCGAAGCTGTTTTCTGGTATGTTTTTAAATCGGATTTTTTTTTTGAAAAGTTTAATTAATGGAATTTTTTGTTTCTTTCGTTTAGGGTATCATTCTTATCCGGCCTTGCTGCCGGTTCATTTGCTGCTCTCTTTGTCAATCCCTTCGATGTGGTGAAAACCCGCCTGCAAGCCATCAAGAAGGCTGATGGTGAAAAGGAATTCAAGGGCATTATGGATTGTATAACGTAAGTGTTGAAAATTGAGTCATTATAAGATTATATTTTTCATATTTAAGAAGCCGCCAATATGAGAAAAATGTAGTCTACTTTGAGAAATATGAGGACAACATTAGGCATAACTTCAGTCTTAAAGAAAATCAATTTGTTATTCTGAAAGAAGATATTTAATGTTGTCTATGAGAAGACCTTAAAGTCTTTTTGGCATTCTAAAAGAAGACGTTTTTGTATTATATTAGAAGACGTTTTTCGTTACCCAAAGAAGAGTTTTTGGCCAGGCCTATTTGACTTATGGGACAGACCTTTTAAACTTCTATGGTCTTCTATAAGAAGGCTTTCTGGTCTGGACCATTTTTTCTTCCATGCGAAGATCTTATGAGTTTTTAAAAGAAAACATTTGTTTTATGAGAAACATTTGCAGAGCTTCTTGGGTCTTTTGGCGTTTTATGAGAAGACTATGCTTACCTTTACCTTTTGCTCTTCTATAAGGAATCCTGCTGCTTTTTTAACAAACATTTTGGCGTTTTATGAAAAGTCCTTTTCGGCTTCAATGGAGAGACATTTTGAGAAAAAAAAAAATGCCGTCATTTGTAAAAGGTAGTTGCTGTTCTCTAAGAAGACATTCTTGCCATTAAAGCGAACCAATTTTCTTTCTGTCTATGTGAGAGACTCCCATAAGAATATATTTTATGAGTGGGCCACTTGGTCTTCTATTAGATGACCTTTTGGTCTTTAATAAGAATGTATGTTGATCTTCTTAAAGGAGATCTATGAGAATACATTTTTATCCTTCTTTTGAAGACATTTTGTTCTGCTATGACCACGGCTTTCGCCTTCTAGGTAGAGATCTTGTGGTGGCATGTAGAAAAATGAAACCATACCGCAATTATTATTGAAGGCAGTTGCTTTTCTATATGAAGAGATTCACGACATTCAAGTAAAGACATTTACTTCTGCATTAAAGGACCAACTGTTGATCTGTTGAAATATCTTCGGGCGGTATTTAAAATTTAAAAGACCATCTAGTCCCAGACCATCTAGAAAGTCCCAAAAGAATATCATTTTGATCCTTTTTATATTTTGTTAGAAACAACTTTTGGGCTTTCTTAAGAAGTCCCCACAAGAGGATCTTCCTGGCCTTCTATAAAAAGTCGGTTTAGTCTTCTATACAGGGTGAGATGAAAAAATTGCAACCAAATTCAGACTGCTGTCATTTCTAAGCCACTCGTTCGACAGCTGTTAAAATTATTCCAGTGATAGCTCATTATATTGTTTACAAGCGTACAAAAGCCTTTTTGGTGAGAATTTTCCAGAAAAAAGTTATTCGTGATGGAATTCAAGCGTAAAATGAGCTCGGCGTAAAGCCATTGAAATTCCAAAAACTTACACCGCAACAGAAAGGAAATAGACTCAAAAGAGCTAAAGAGTTGCTTCGCTTGGCTGAAAGTGGTGAACCGCCGAATTTGGTTTTCTCCGCTGACAAAATATTTGATGTCCAGCTATTTGTGTTTACTTGCCAAAGAGGTCAGCTGAAAATGTTCAACTTCCGTTGGCCATCGGAAATCAAGCGCCGGCCATGGTGATGGTGTGGGACGCCATAACAGTCGATGGTCGCTCTCCACTTGTATTAATCGACCGTGGCATCAGAATAAATATCGAATATTATAGTGAAAATATCATCGCGAGGTTGTATTAAAGCCTTGGGCATGCAAACATTTTGACCACAGATCTTGGACATTCCAACTCAGCACCATGGCACTCAGCACGCGCGACCCGAGAATGGTTACAAAATGAGGTTCCTCGCTTCATTTCCAGCGCACAATGGCCACCAAAATCTCGGGATATCAATCCGTTGGACTATTGTGTTTGGGGTATTTTGGAAAGCAAAATACCAAAGTGGCGATCACCTCAAGCAAGCGCTTCGCCGGGAATGGGCCAAAATACCACAGAGCAACATTCGGGCAGCGTGTGACAGTTTCATTGGCCGTTTGAAGGCCATAATTCGTGCCAAAGGTGGCCAATCTAAACTTATTCTAAAATTTGATGCCATTTCTGACATGTTTTGCTTTCATTCAAAAAAATTAAAAAAAAAAGTATAAATTGTGTCATTTGACTTTGTTGAAGTTTTTTTATTTTACCCTGTAAAAAGGTCCTTCTTGTCTTTTAAGTGACAAGAGGATACTTTGGTCTTCTGAATAACTATAAGAGGATATTTTTGGTTTTCTATTAGAAGTCGGCTTTTTGACTTTCCTAAGAAGGCCCTCGGATGTTCTAGTCCCCTTGACTTCCAGAAGAAGGATTATTTATTTTATTATTTTCAATATTTCAATTCATTGTCTAATATTTTCCTCTTTTATACCTTTCCAGAAAAACCATGAAATATGAAGGACCCACAGCCTTCTTCAAGGGCGGTCTCTGCCGTATGATTGTGATTGCACCACTGTTTGGTATTGCCCAGACAGTCTATTTCTTGGGTGTGGCCGAGGGATTGCTTGGCGTTAAGAAGTCTGCGTAAATACTAGGCCCCCCGATCACACACAAAGAAGAAAAGCGCGCACCCACACCCAAAAGCAGTTAAGCCAGTTACAAATTTAAGGAAACTCTAGCATTTCCAGTGATGAAAGATAAACAGTCGTCCTCTCGTAAACAAAAAACAAATGCATATAGTTATATATATATAAAAGTAATGTGTACATGTAAAAGTTATGTGTTTGTTGTGTATAGTGAAAATGTTATTGCTTGAAGAAAAAAATGTTACATTTGTTTTTTTTTTTTTAATAATTATGTATAACCGGAACAAAAAAGAAAAAAGAAAAGGTCTCTTTGGGGAAGGTGAGTGGGGTTGAAATGTGAACAATATATATTATATTTATAAAAGTTATTATCATTGAGACCCTTCTCGCCTATCTCTGAATCGATTCTTTTCACTGATGACCAGAAAAAATGTAATTTTAAACAGAATTGTAAACAAAAACATGTTTTAAATTACATTTCAATTGCCTGAAGACATATTTGTCTTAAGCCTCCTCCCACATATATGATGGGGCCATAAATGTAACCATAAATAATTGAATTTTATGTTTTGAAATGCTATTAAGAAAAATATAAAGAAAAATCACACACAAAACAAAATCAACTACAACAAGACAATAAATAATGCAGAAATTCTAAAAATAAATCATAACTTCCGCGAAATACTCTCCCCACATTTCTTCCCTCTGTCGTTAATTTGTTCGCCATATGATAATTGAAGTTTCCATAAACAATGTTCACACAATGTTCGTTCGTATAACGTATAACTCCATATATACCGGGTGAGATGAAAAAAACTGCAACAAAGTCAAACACGATAATTTTTATTTTTTTTTTTTAATTTTATTGAATGAAAGTAAAAAATTGTCGGAAATAGCATCAAGTTTTAGAATCAATTTAGATTTGTTCGAATTGATCACCTTTTCACCTTTGGCACGACTTATGGCCTTCAAACGGCCAATGAAATCATCACACGCTGCCCGAATGTTGCGCTGCGGTATTTTGGCCCATTCCCGGCGAAGCGCTTGCTTGAGGCGATCGACATTTTGGTATTTTTAGTGCCAACCTTGCTTTCCAAAATGCGTACTCCAGACACAATAGTCCAACGGATTGGTATCCGCAGATTTGGTGGCCATTGGGCGCTGGAAATGAAGCGAGGAACCTCATTTTTTGCAACCATTCTTGGGTGGCGCGTGCTGAGTGCGATGGTGGTGCTGAGTCCTGTCCAAGGTCTGCGACCAAAATGTTTGCGGGCCCAAGGCTTTAATACATCCTCTAGAATATTTTTGCGATAATATTTGTCATTTATTCGACTGACACGGTCGATTAATACGAGCAGAGAGCGATCATCGGCTGTTCTGGGGGCCCAATCGAAGGTGCACATTTTCAGCTGACCTCTTTGGCAAGTTAACACGATCATTTTGTTTGCTTACAAACTGCTGGACCACGAATGTTTTCTCATCGGACAAAACCAAATTCGGCAGTTCACCATCAACACTTTCGGCCAAGCGAAGCAACTCTTTAGCTCTTTTAAGTCTATTTTCTTTCTGCTGCGGTGCAAGCTCTTGCACTTTTTGGAATTTGAATGGCTTTACCGCGAGCTCATTTTTCAATATTTGCCGAATGGAATATTGTGCGATATGTTCAGCTCACGAGCCATTTTTCGGTCACTGCGATGCGGGTTTCGATCAAGTCGCTTCTTTTTAATTTTCGAACCATTTCTGCTGATGTTGCTGTTTTCTTTCGTCCACTTCCTTGACGTCGGGCTACGCTACCACGTAACCACAGTAACGAACGATGGTACGAGACACAAAAGATTTTTTCACATTTAAATGCTGGAGTGCTCTAACGATAGCCCCTTGTGGTGTTTCAGCCAAATATAAAGAAGTCACACTATCACGCTTGAATTCAATCACGAATAACGTGTTTTTCTGGAAAATTCTCACCAAAATGATTGTGTACGCTTGTAAACAATACAATGAGCTGTCACTAGCATAATTTTAACAGCTGTCGGATGAGTGGCTTGGAAATGACAGCAGTTTGAAGTTGGTTGCAGTTTTTTCATCCTCACCCTGTATATTCATAAAAAAAAAACAGAAACACAAACAAAAGACTTCGTTTATGAGGAGCGACTCAGGAGGAAGACTACATCATTTAAACATGATGTATGTGCTCCAGGGAAAAATTCTTATAAACGATGTCTTTATTTAAGCAACCTAAAACTCCTTTCGTAGATGAACAGGGAGTTTTAGGTTGATTTAGTTCGATTTTGGACCTAGGTTCCTTTGATCATCTACGAAGAAGCCATTCAATGACTTAAGCCAGCCATATAAGCGCTTTATGTATTCCCACCTTTAAGCTAATGGATCCTATTCTCTCTCCTCAACGGTTGATACCTTCCCTCATTGTTTGATGTCTTCATGTTTTCTGTTTTCAACAAATAAAAAAAAAGACAAGCATACCTTACATTTATATAAATCAAAACAGTTTTAGATTTTGCATTTTCTTCTTCTACATCTATCTTTCTTCATGTGTTTGTTTTAAGCTTTTTTCATTTTGTGAAGAACAATTGACGTGTCTTTGCCATAACGTCATTTAAACAATAGCTTTGCTATATAAAGAGAAGTTCTTTTAATATGTGTGTTCGTGTTGTTTCCTATATTAAACGCATAGTTAGGCTTATATCTATTGTTTGTATTAATTTAATAATAAAATGTTTTTTTTTTAATTAGATTTTCGAACTATTTACGTATAAACTTGTTTGTGAGCATAATGATGAGATATATATATATAAACTAAATATAGTAATTAATGCCAATTATAATGTATACATAAATAAGTGAATAAAGATATTAAAAATAAAGAAATAAAATGCTTTTTTTTTATATTCAACATGACCTCGAAAAGGTAAGCTCATATAACATTAACGAGTTTAGAAATTATCAGTCGGGTTTTCCAAGAGATGTATGTATACCCTCAGCCAATATTCGATTATTTAAATATATAATATATGACAGAAACTTGTTCATACCAACGGTCTATCCCAATATTCGGTATCATCACCTCTAACCAAAAAAATAATAAAAAATAAAAATAAAAAAAAAATAAAAAGCAGCTAAGTTTGGCCGGGCCGAACTTTTAATACCCTCCGGCATTTTGAAGGAAATTGAAAAATTTCAAAAAAATTTTCGAAAAGTACCACTTAAATGAAAACCGTTATATGGAGACTATACGAAGACGTGTATCTTCATACGAAATTGTTTGTCATAGGCTGTAGTGCCCATTAAGAACATCAGATATGAAATTTGTTACAATTACGGTTAATTATGTCGCAAAGGTCATGAAAATACGGAGTATCGGGAGGAGGCTGAAGGCTATACGAAGATGTGGACATGCATACGATTTTTTTTTGCCATAAGTTGTTGATTTAGGTAAATAATGTTGCTGAAACCCTAAAAATACCGACTATCAGGAGGAACCGTTATGTGGGGGCTATACGATGACGTGGACCTGTATATTAAAATTGTTATCATAGACTGAATTACCCGTTACGAATTTCAAATGCGAAATTCGAAATAATTCCGCTAAATAATGTCGCTAAAATCATGAAAATGACGAATATCGGGAGGTACAGATATATGGGTGGCTATACGAAGACTTGGAGCTGCACACAAAAATTTTTGGGTAGTAACAATCATGGTACAATGAAGAGAAGGTAGGTCAACTTTGAAAAAATTGCAAGTATAGAGGTCTACCTGTTTGTCTTGTAATGTCAGAATTGCTATCAAAACAATAAAAAAGCAAACAACTTGTTGCATTGATTTTGAATAAATAATTTAAAACCGCGAAAACTGAATGAATGGTCAAAATTTCTTTTCAATATCATGTTCTATATATCTCTTATGGTTTATTTCGCGACAAAAACTGTAGATTTTGTCGATGCATTTATTGCAATAAGCATTTTGAAAACACCCGAATTTTAATATTTTCTGAACAATTTTTTATTATTGAAAAGAAGACACACACATAAGCAAGTTAAGTTGACATATTAAGCCAGAAAAATAAAAAAATTAAATCATATGGTAGTTCTGCCCTACCTTGAATTCATTGTACCATGGTAACAATTATATACTTTAGGCTTCAGGGTTTTCTTGCACTGAATCGTAGGCCTATTGGAAGAAGACTTTGGGGGATATTTTCTTTAAAAAACAAGACTAGCTACGCTGAGAAGGAAGTTTCCTCACGCTTTTAAATAAGAAACAATTTGTTATTTTTGACAAGATTTTCGATTTATCCAAGACACTTACGAAACACCTTTTGGAGATCACATAATCATCTTATAAACCATCACCGAAAGAATTAAACACCCAAAATAAACCACTTTCCTTCGGTATACATTCTACTTAATTTATTTTTCTTTTTTTTAAATTCTCCTGCAACTTATACAAACAAGTCTTATAAATCACTTTACTTTCAATATGGGCGACCACTTTTTATCGCTTTATATCAATTCTATAGCTATGCTCTAATATTATTCTTTATTTCTCTTTGTTTAATGAAGATTTCCTTTTTTTGTTTTGTTTTTCTTCCATATTGTTTATCACATACAACAATCGAAATAATAGATGACAAAAAAATCTAAATAACTTTGTTAAGCACCATATCGTCTTTTTAAATTATATCAGCTGGGCGATTTGTTGGTATACCAGCACCTCCAATACCCGTTGCCGGATCGGCAGTCATTTCGGCATAACGATTACGGGCCAAACGTAACAGTATCGAACGATACCATTCCAAGATGATGGCCCGTCGATAGGTGATCAAACCGAGCTGTAGAATAACATAACCAATTATGGTGACCAAATTAATATATTCCCATTCCAAGAGGCAGGCCATTAGCCAAACCAAATAACAACGAATGCTATCGGCCAGTATGAGATTTGCCGAAGACGAGAAGCGAATTATGGCTAAACTGGTATAGCCATGTATGGCGGTGGTAACAACGAAGATACACACAGCAACAATGAGCCATGGATTGCTTTGCAATTGGCTAAAGATATCCTGTAAATCATCGAAAACTTCACGGGAACTGTCGTTGAATGGTGATATCGGTGTGGGTAGGTAATTCATACAGATACCCAAGATGCCAGTTATCACCACACCAAAGACACCTTGCCAGCCCAGGGCCTGGAGAATGGGTACATTACACGCCTTCACATATTTCTCTTCGTAGATCATTTTGGCTGCCTGAAATATGGAGGCACAAATAATTAATAAATCTCCTGACAGAACAGCATTTGAATTCGGATGAGCCAAAGATGCCTGGTCGTAGACTATTCGTTGCATGTCCGTTGAGATGATAATAGTAAGACCGCATGCAATTATGATTATTGCTGACCAATGACGTCCAATCAGGTTTTGATTTAGGTAGATCGATCCAAACAGGCCGATGAAAATGATGGTGGAGCCTGGAAAATCATTGAACAGATTAAAAACATTTAAAAACACATATAAATTTAAAAAAAATTAAAAAAAATTCGTATTTGAAATTTTGAAAATTTCTGTACAAAATCCACTGCTTATTTTTTTTAAATCTATTATTTGAATTTTTCGAAAAAATTTTTTTTATTCAAAATTTTACATTATGAAAAATTTCATAAAAAATTCACAATTTTAAAAAAATCTGTGAAAATTGCAATTCTTTAAAAATAAGAATAATCGATTTCAATCACACGATTCCACAATTTTTACTACAAGGCAGTTATTTAAAATTGAGCTGAGGATAGACACAGAAAGTTGTTTAAAAGATATCTGCAACTTGGAGCTCGTGATATCCTTTAAAATAGTCTCTAAAATCCACAATTTGGCACTTTGGATAGGCTTTAAAAAAGAATTTCGTTTTCTTGTACAAAGCATTAATGTTATTTTATAGGAAGAAAACCCCATAGCAGATGTCTAAAAAGGTATACTAGGAATGCCTTATATTTGGGAAACCAATGATGTGATTGATTATAAATGGTTTTCCTTAATTTTAAAAGAAATTAAGTGTTTAAACCTTTTCCCTTTCTCCTGGTTACTTTACTTACATCGTATAGCTTGAAAACTAGATGCATAGGTCAAATAGAGACCGGTCAATAACATAACCGTTGTTATGGTATTCAAAAATGCCGGTAAAAGCATTGCCATAGGTCGAAATTCACGGTCACCGCTTGTCAGTAGATTGTTATCTTCGGAGCCATCCTACGAAAATAAAAAAAGTAAAAATGTAAAGAAAATACTATGACACCTAGTCCAGCTACTTACATTTCTTCTACGCAGTAAAGCAAATATAGTTTTGTAGATAAGAAAACAGATGCATTCACCCAAGAACATCAAAAAGGTCAGGGCGACCTGTTTGAGGGAAGGAAATTGTTTGTTATTCAAACGTACATAAATATTTATATGCACTCATACATATAGTATATTATCAACAACTATATGTATTTTAATTATTTAAAACTTACTGGATGCTGAAAATAACGCCATTTGCCATCATAACATTCACCCTTTAATGTATTTGTCCATCTTATCGTCGTCGTTGTCGAGGCAGGAAAGGGAATTGATTTTTATTTTTACAATGTAATGTAATTAAAGCACAGAAAAAACAACAACAAAAACAATTGTTAATGCAAAGGGCCTATTTCGCAAAAACATAACAAGACAAGACAAATACTAACTTGATTAGAAGCGTATTGCAAGTACTGGAGATAAGAAATAATAAAATAATTATGTTGTTCATTCTCCGGCTGTGTAGTTGAGGTGAACTCCAACAAATCGAGTTGTTGTATTATATATCCAAACAAAAGTTTTGCGAAATTTCTCCTCTATATCGGCAAAATTTGCAAAAAAATAAACAAAGCAGAATTGCAACTGCAAGTAAGTAATTCTTTATTTGAGTCTTCTTCTTTCTTTGATAGGTTTACAATACGAATGGTTAACAGTATACCCTTAGAACTATTGTTGTCTTGTTCTAACTTAATCGTGACATATATGAGTTGTGTTCCAGAACCTACAAATTAGTACTAATTCTGCTACAACGCGTTCCCGTACTGCAAAAACTAGCAAAACTTGCAGCTCTCTCGAGAAAAAAATGGCGCTGAGTGGTGCTACAGGTGTTTTAGCTGAAATGTGCAAATTGTGAATTTGACATTTAATTGGCAGGGCTAACAAGGTTGAAAAATGTATTGATACATTTCAATGTTCCCGCGTCATAACAAAAGTAAAGAAATGATCAATTTAAAAACTAAAGGAAAAACTAATATTTGTAGTGCAAAAAAACAAAAAGAGAAAATATGGATCACTTTTGGATGATTCCAGTAGTGAAGAGGACTGGCTGAATGATGAATCAGATTATTAATTATTATTATAGATTATTAATTTTAAAGTATCGTAAATTTTGGCGTCCGTTTCAGTAAGGTTTCACCAGTCCGATTTGGACTGTTTACTGTTGGAATTTTGACATTTTATGGATATTTAGGGCAATTTTTTGTGAGTGGTTGTTGTGAATTCGAAGAAGTTCGCAGTTAAAGTCTTCGATAACATCGTCGATTTGTCCATTTGATAGGTTCCTATTAATTGGCGGCATAATTTGCGTTGACATTAAATTTAGCTCTTGTCGAAAATTGTTCCAATTTGTGTTTTTATATGAGGTGAATAACTTTGGCTGTCTCAAAATTAGATTTGTGCAATAAAATGATAATGCCAGTTTAATGGGAAAGTGATCGGAGAAAGTTGGCCGCGTTTGTATATTGCAGTTTTGAATCCCGGGTTCGACCAAATGAGAGGAAATTAGAAAGTGATCCAAGAATGAGGAACCATTTGGGAACGATGGAGTGGAACCACAAAGACGTGTAACCTCTAGTGAGTTATCAGCCAACCATGCGCGCAGCGTTTTGAAATTAGAATTTTTATGCGGATCACCCCGTGAGGTACTTTTTGAGATGAGGTCACCTCCAAGAATAAATCCATCAAAGTTTTTGCAAAGTTGTAGCAATTTGTTTAAATCTGATTTAAGAGAGTTTACTGGCATACTGCAAGGAATGTAGACAGAGCCAATAAGGTATTTAAAGGTGTTGTTATTTCTCAATATTTCTATTTGAATGAACGACGTACCAATACCGACGTCATTAAAAGGGACTCTGGAAAATTTAATGTTTTTTTTCGCAATTACTGCAATTCCAACAGAAGAGTTGTCATATATAAAGTTATAGCCATTAATCCACATTTTTTTGTTGTTCCGCAGATGACATTCTTGAATAAAAGCAAAATCTATGTTCTCACGATGGAGCATATTTTCTAATTCAAGTTGTCTACTAGAATCAACTAGTGAGCGTACATTGAGTGTGAGAAATAAAAAGGATCTATGGTGCATAGATAGATTTTACTTTTGTGAGAAGCCTTAGGAATTCTTGCTTTGCTTCTGCCTTTGACTTTTTTTGGAAGGTGTTTAGAAATATTTCAATTTCTTGTTCTAGAGAAAGCACTAGAAATAAATTGGCAAGTTCAAGGAATTGTTGTATTAGAGGTGGCTTTTGAGAAGTATCTGATCCCTTTACAGGTGTTTTAAAATGACTGGCAAACGTCTTACCCGGAGATAATATAGACATGTTCAGTGCTCTACTCACGTTATTTTGGGCGATCGATTTAATTTCCATTGCCTTGGCGACTTTTTTCCGTCTGGCTGCGACATAGGCTTTATAAGACGGACAACCTCTCCAATTAGCCGGGTGGCCTAATTTACCGCAATTGACGCAATAAGGTTCTGATGAGTCTGTAGCAGTTCGCTGGCACTCACCGGGAAGATGTTTTTGGTCACATTTAACACATCTATATGGACAATTGCAGTTGCGGGAGATGTGGCCGTGGCCTTGACATCTGCGGCACTGAGGATCGCGATCCCTTTTCTTCGGTTTTTCCCATTTGATAATTTGTCTATTTAGTTCTTTTATGTGTGTAACCTCACTAGCTTTTTTCCCTGGCAATAAGGATACCAAAAATAAGCCAGTGTCAATGTTTTTCTTTATAAACATTGGGGTTTTGAATTTTGAAACATTTGCCACTGTGTCAGGAACTAGACTGTCCAACTCTTCTTTGATCTCCTGTATGTCTGAAAATGCGTGGAGATCCCGGATCAGAATTGAATCTTGTTTCAGCTCTTTTGGCGTGAATGTATAGGAGTCTATTTTTTTTTGTCCTCAGTATAGCCATCATAGAAGCATGAACTTTTGGATCCGACAGAAATATTTTGCTCTTTGTCTTGTTTATGTTTTTAATTTTAAAAGAGGATTGAGGAATTAATGCTTTAAGCGACTCAATCAACGTCATCATATTTACATTGAAGACAAAAATTGGCGCGCACAAAGACATTTTTGATTTGTGTCTCCCATCTCTGGTTATGCGTGGTTTTGCGTTGTCATTGTTTTCAGCAGGAGCTGCAATACCTATGTCAACGTCCGCAAGAGCACCTAGGATTCCAAATTTATTAGGATCATCAGGATTATGACTCAATAATCGTTCTCTTAGGTCGGCAATATTTATGTTCACTGGTGACTGCACATTTTCAAGACGTTGTCTTTTTCTTTCATTTGGATCGCAGTCTTTAGGTTGTTTGTTTGTTGTTCGTAATGGCGGGAATGAAACTTCGGGTACGTCGTATGTTGTAGGGTTCACTATGTTTTTTTTTTTTTTCATTGCAACTGCAATTGGAAGCAGAGCAGCTAACGAAGGCGAATGATTTGGCGCGACGGCGTTAACGGTTTGCCAAGTACATGGCAATTGACGGCGCCGTGCCATGCTTTTGTTGATTGCGCTCTTCATAAGAAGGGATTACTAGGTCGACTTTTGACTTTTTAATAAATTAATGTAGAAAAATGTTAAATATGTCGATTTGTTGTAAAACAAAGTTGTTATATATTAAAATATAATAATTTTTAAAATATTCAAATGATATTTAATAACCTGTGGTTTGAAAATCGAGTTAAACTGCGTTTTTAGGAAAATAAAATGAAAGCAACCGAAGAAGAAGAAAAACCAAACATTTAATAATTTTGCTTTAAATTTTTTACACATTTTATTACGAAATTCGATAAAATATTATTTTTTCTGTCCGAAATTCACTTTACTCGGTAAATAGCAGCTGTTCATCAGTCTTTTGTTGAAGGTAATGCGTGGCGGTTGCCATGGTATGCGAGCTTCGGGAATTATCTGCAAAACCAAAAAAACAAATGATAGTTTAAAAGGAATCAATGGTAAATAAACACCTACAGTCATTGGTTTCTCTGGACGACCGCTGCAGGTTGGGCAACGGGCATTACGTTTTGCCGATGCCGTGGTTCTAACACTCTCCATTAGACTTTCCATTGGCGACCAATTGACGTGGGTACTTTTTGGACGAATTTCAAAGAGTTTTTCACGATTCAAAAAACTGAAAAGATAGGGGGATATATAGGATAAAAATATGCTGTTGCAGAACCTGTAATATGGCAACTTTTGAAAAATGATTTGTTTAGATTCTTGCAGGTTCTGTAAGGGCTTAAGTCATCGGCTGGTTCCTTCGTAGAAGAGTCTCCTATGTTCATTTCCGAAGAAGTCAGCCGATGACTTAGCCAGCCAAATAAGTGTTTTATGTATTCCCACCTTAAGAGAGCATTCGTTATGTTTTTACATGACTCGGCTGTTTAAGGGTACCTAAGTCGACTTTCAGATATTCGAAGAAGACTGCTAGATCTCAATGCAGGAAATCTGTACAAGAAAAAAATTTTTGCTCTGTTCCAGAACCTACAAGAATCTACCAGTTCTGTTATTTTTTTCGATATCATAAAGGAAAAATCGGTTATCGTAGTACGATTTTAACATTCTCGCAGTTCTGGAACAGAGCAATTGTTTTGGAAATAAGAGAGGATGAAAATTTGATTATTCCTCCTCATTTATTTCCTACCTTTCCCATAAATGTAAATATTTATTAAAGATCGATTTTCTATTTTTTATTATCGATTTTCGATTAATTTGGCAACTTGACCTAACCCTTGTTCTGTTCTAGAACTGCAAGAATGTAAAGCTTTTTACTACGATAACGAATGTTCCCCTAATGATATCGAAAAACATAGCAAAGCTTGTAGGTTCTTGCAGGTTATGGAACAGAGCATATATGTAACCCAGTAATTTTCACTGATATGTTATCTGGAGACATTTCTTTGCGGATTGTTTCCACATACTTTTTTGAAAGATATTCCCATTCGAACCTCACTTGACACTCACTTTGGTCGTGGCTCCCTCCAGAAATCCGACATGCGTTTATTGCGCATAATATCCGATAGACTTTGCAGGAGGCGAACATTTTCCGCTTCAACGTTGAGTATTCTTTCCCTTTCCGATTGCTGTTTCTTGGCTTTTTGCACCACATGAGGATAGAAGATGGGCGGTGAACGATCAATGGCAGCTTTGGCGGATTTCACTTTTTCTCGATGTTGTTCGTACCGTCGCTGTTCCCAAGGGTAATTTAGAAGTTTATCTCGACGCGATATCATGTTTTTTGATGGAATGCTAGTAAAGGACTGAAGGAATTTGTGGTTGTGTTTTTGGAACGGACTAACCTTGACGGCGTTGGGTTGCTTTGGTTATTTGTTGTGTGTGTGTATGCGTTGATTTTGCCATGGTGGCAAACTGGGGAGTTGAGTCGGAAAGTTTGTTATATAACTGTTAACTTGTGTTATATAACTCACCGCCATGGTGATGATGATATCATCACCTTGGCATAATTCAAACTTGGTGGCGAACTTTTCGAGGAATGCGTAAAGAAAAAGGGGAAATGGGATGGCGAACTTTTTGAGGAATGCGTAAAGAAACCTAGAATGGAAAGAAGAAAAGATAAACGACAAAAGACAAATTTCCTATACCTCTGTTCCAGAAAATGCAAGAATCTGCATTGTATCCCTGGTAGCAATTAAAGCAGAAAAGAAAAGAGGGATTGTCTCTTCGCCAAAGATAACAAATTTTTTATCATCGATAACTAGAAAGAGTTGCGGATTCTTTGACTTCCAAAAAATCTGTCCAACGCCCAAGGGCAACTGAAAAAAGGCTCCAAATGTAACTATTCTAGGAATATTTGCAAAGCTAGGTTTAGGTTTAAGACCATAAATCGTTTAAGTGTATATTTCCTAGGTTGCCATAGGCTAATTGGCGCCCAACGTAAAATTATGCATTTTTTCTCTTTCAATTTTAAGCAATCAAAAGTCGTATTTCTGCAAGGAATTAAAGCGGGTTGTATTAGGGTGGAAATATATAAAGCGCATATTTGGCTGGATTAAGTCATCGGCTGGCTTATTCGTAGATGAACAAAGGAGTTTTAGGTTGCCTTAGTTCGTTTTTGGTCCTAGGATCCTTTGATCATTTCCAAAAAATCCAACCGATGACTTAAGCCAGCCAGATAAGCGCTTTATGTATTCCCACCTTTAGCTTGGATTGCTCCTTTGCCAGCGATAACGACATTTTCTCATCGACAGCTAGAAAAAGCTTGGTGAATTCTTTTGATTCCCTAATTCATATCCTGAAAGATTTATATAATTTTACAAAAATGGCGCCCAACGGCTACTGAACTTATAATGTTCTGAAAGTAAATATACTAAAATATTAAATATATATTTTCCAGGCTGTCATTGGCCAATTGGCGCCCAACGTGGCAAAATTCGAAAGAATGAAAAAAATATCCTAGATTTCCTAAAAGAAGTCTTAAAAAACTACGGAGATTGTTTACAATGGCGCCCAATGTCTACTGAAATTTGAAGGCTGTGAATGCCCGTATTTTAAGAATATTTGCAAGCTTCCGGGTTCAGAGATTTAAATCGTTGAAGTATATATTTCCATGATATCCGAAGGCTGATTGGCGCCCAACGTAAAGTAATGATTTTCTGCTCCTTTATTCTTTAGCAATTATTTTAAAGGGCGTAGGGGGAGTTAAGTTAGTTCATATTGATCAGCTCTTCTATAGATTAGAGAAGACCAGCAGCTCTTCTATGGACAAGAGAAGACCAACAGCTCTTCTATGGACCAAAGAAGACTTCTTGCTCTTCTATGGCTAAACTAAGACCAGCAGCTCCGCTATATAGCAAAGAAGACCAGCAAACCTTCTATGGACCAGAGAAGACCTCCAGCTCTTCAAAGGACCAAAGAACAACAGCAGCTCTTGTATGGGCCAAACAAAACCAGCAGCTCTTCAATAGGCCAGAGAAGAGCAGCAGCTCTTGTGTGGACCAAAGAAAACCTACAGCTCCTCTATGAACCAAAGAAAACTTGCAGCTCCTCTATGGACCAGAGAAGATCAGAAGCTCTTCTGTGGACCAGAGAAGACCAGAAGCTCTCCAAGAACCATAGAACCCTTGCAGCTCTTGTGTGGACTATATAAGACCAGCAGCTCTTATATGGACGCAAGAAGACCAGCAGCTCTTCTATGAACCAAAAGAGACCAGCAGCTCTTCTGTGAACCAAAGAAAACCAGCAGCTCTTCTATGGACCAGAGAGGAGCAGCCGCTCTTCTATGGACCAGAGAGAAGAAGAAGATCAACAGCAGCTCTTGTGTGGACCAAAGAAAACCTGCAGCTCCTCTATGGACCAAAGAAGACCAGCAGCTCTTCTATAGGACAAAGAAGACCAGCAGCTCTTCTATGAACCAAAGAAGACCAGCAGCTCTTCTATGGACCAGAGAGGATCAGCAGCTCTTCTACGGACCAGAGAGGGGCAGCAGCTCTTCTATGGACCAAAGAAGACATGCAGCTCTTATATGGACACAAGAAGACCAGGAGCTCTTCTATGGACCAGAGAAGACCAGCAGCTCTTGTGTGGACCAAAGAAAACCTGCAGCTCCTCTATGGACCAAAGAACCCCTGCAGCTCTTGTGTGGATCAGAGAAGACATGCAGCTCTTATATGGACACAAGAAAACAAGCAGCTCTTCTATGGGCCAAAGAAGCCCTGCAGCTCTTGTGTGGACCAAAGAAAACCTGCAGCTCTTTTATGGCTCTGAGAAAACAAGCAGCTCTCCTATGGACCAGAGAAGACCAGAAGCTCTTTTATGAACCAAAGAAGGCCAGCAGCTTTCTATGAACCAGAGAAGAACAGCAGTTCTTCAATGGGCCAAAGGAGACCTGCAGCTTTTCTATGGAGCAAATTTAAATCGTTTAAGTATGTATTTCCAAGATTAGCGAAAACTGATTGGCGCCCAACGTGAAGTAATGAATTTCTGTTTTTTACAATTAAGTAATTATTTTAAAGGGCGTATGGGGAGTTAAGATAGATCACATTGGATTTCCGCTTCGAAGAAATATTGAGTATCGTCACAAGGGTATTAAAAAAAGTGAGTTAAAGGAATGGGGTTATGCCTAGTTCCATAAATACTTCAATTTTAAGGATTTTTAAAGGGCAATAAAGATATATAAATCCACTCTAGTTTTGTATTTAATTTTTAATTCCATATTACCTGGTGGTATTGTTGCTATGACCTTCCATTAACTTGCCATTGGACTTCTTCCCATGCCCTTAGAATAATAAACTTGCCGGAATTTTAAACTAATATTTCCATTTTCATTTCTATTTGGTAAAATCTACACATGCCTACGAAAAAAAATTCCGAATGTACATATGCTCATAACCATATGTAAGTATGTACGTGTGTGTGCGTCCGTTTGAACTCCATAACTCCCAGGATTAACGTTGCCTCGCACAGTAGCTATTCCTTGTTTTTTTTTTTTTTGTTTGTTTGTGGGTCTCCAACAATAACAATTAAGTTTAACCTCACGTTTTATGATGTTAGCCCGGTTGGTTGCTTCGATGGTTGGCTGGCTGGCTGGCTGGCAGACTGCCTCCCTGGTCTGTTAGCTTGTCGGGAATAGCTTTTCATAGTCTAGAATATATTCAAATTCACATTCACTTCTTAGAGACAAACATTTTTATGCATAACCAAAATAAAAAATGCAAACATTTTAAGGTGGGGTGAGGGAGTACAAGTCTTCTGTAACGGGGGAAGGGAAAAATGGAAAAATTCTAGAAAATCGAAGAAGGGAAAGGCTGGTGTACATAATTTTGATTAATAATGCGATAAAACTCGCACATCCATATAGGGACTGAGCAGAGAGAAAGAGAGAGAAAGGGAGAGAGAGAGAGAGAGTAAAGAAATATGGAAAACAGTTTTTTGGATTTCTTTCCAAGCCCCTCCCTTGAGTGTCTTCACTTTTTCATAGCAGACCTCGAGGTATTTCAACATCTATCCCTCATACAATGTATCCCAACATTTTCATAATCTCTCTACCCCAACTTCCTGTACAACATGTCGCAATGCAACGCATCACATCTATCATTTCATACCAATTTAATATCTTCCGATGTTTGAAGTGGTCAAATGTCTCTTCATTCAGTGGTCAAATAAATTAAAATAAAAATTGCATTCCATCAGCGGAGACAAGTCGGGCAACAAATCACCAACATGATCTCGGGGTAGCCCATCCATGCGAACAAACAAGCCTCGGAAACACATCAGAAGCTGGAAAAACAAACAGCCGAACACTGCGAGTGTGTGTGTGTGCGTTTGTAAGTAATGAACAGTGACATCAGCAGCTTTAACAAATAAACAGACAGACCTGAAGACAGGCAGACGGACAATTGCCAGACACATGGCCAGGCGTTTTGTAACGCAGCCCTGAGGTGTACGTACCTCAACGACAAGAAATCCGCTTTCGGACAGATGGACAAAGAGTGCGCTCGCGCGTACCTCCAGCCAAAAGTGGATGCTCACATAAAGTACCACTTAACATCAATCAGGCAAATGAACACCAAAACTACAGGACAGTTGACATGTGAGTAAACAGTCAGTTAACCGACGGCGGCAGCTGAGAGCAACTGCATCCCATGCCATGCCATTCGCAGGCAATTCGCGCATTGTCTTCTGTGTTAACTTGGCCTGCCGCTCCTTTTGGCAATAAAAGAATATTTGCCGACATTTTGATATTGTGCGGCGCATCGTCACACGGCTCGTCGTCATCAACTCATAGCTATCGTCAGCATCATCATCCTCGTCCTCATCATTCGGCCAGATAGATCAGTCACTGGCAGACAATAACGCGCCAAGGAAATTGCGAAGAGCGTTTTTTTTGGTTTGGTGGTGTTGTTGCGTGTGCCGGGGAATAGGGATTTCAGAAGGCAAAAATTATTAAAAAAAAATCAGAAAGAAGACCTCCAGAACCAAAGAAGACCAGCAGCTCTTCAATGGACCAGAGAAGAGCAGCAGCTCCTCTATGGACCGAAGAAGACCAGCAGCTCTTCTATGGACCGAAGAAGACCAGCAGCTCTTCTATGGACCGAAGAAGACCAGCAGCTCTTCTATGGACCGAAGAAGACCAGCAGCTCTTCTATGGACCGAAGAAGACCAGCAGCTCCTCTATGGACCAAAGAAGACCAGCAGCTCCTCTATGGACCAAAGAAGACCAGCAGCTCCTCTATGGACCAAAGAAGACCAGCAGCTCCTCTATGGACCAAAGAAGACCTCCTGC